AATATAAATAGAAATAACTGATTTGCATGAAAAGTGCCAATACTTCAAATTTGATTTTCTTGCATTGATAAATTACTTCTGTATAACAGAAATTGAAAAATAAATAACTAATATATGTAAATATATCTATGATAATTAGGTAATGGATAAACATTCTACATCTATATATAACTCTTAAGTTGGTTACATAACTGGAGACCTAAGTCCTCCAGGCTTGGCACAGGGCGACCAGTGCTATTGGGTTGTTGAGGGGAAGCAACCATGCGCTTTTGTGGTTCTGTTACCTGAAGTGTTATTTGACATTTATGCCAAAAAGTTCATAAATGTAATGAAGAAAAAAAAAAAATAAAAGGTCATGGACAAATGCAAATTATCAAACAATATATGTACAGAAAGAACCAAACTGGAACAAGAATATTCATTAATTGAAATACATAAACAATGTCAAATACACTCTCAGGTAGCATCGGCACATTAGCTCATCTCTGAATTCTGCCCTGCTCAGTGCTTGATTCTTTAGACTATCGCCTTTAGACTGACAAGGTAAGTATTCCAGGTAAGAAGTCATAAAGTCGATAGTCTTCTGAATTCTGTACTGTTCAGTGTATACTTCATAGCTAATAAGCAGGTGGTAAAAGGTCTCTGTTTTTGCACCTAGTTTCTTAAAAAGTTTAGTGTTACAACATTCTAGCTGGTTGGTTCATTTAATTTTAATTATTTTTTGCTAATGTCAAAATGGTCATGATGGTCTAGAGGAAAATTTTTAATGTATTTTTAAGATGAAATCAAAATATACAACAAATAAAGTTGGTTCAACAGAATTGGATCTATAGGGTGCCACATTGAATTGATATCAAAATGGCAATAAAATGAATGCCATCCCCATTTTTCACCCTTTCCTTTCATGTATAATCAAGTTTCCAGTCTTAATTTTTTATCAGATCACTGATATATAATAAGCATCTAAAACATTTTTTTTTGTTTGAACAAGTTACTTTCATTCTGTTTATCAAGATAAATTTAATAATTTTCAAGCTGTAATTATATCTAAAGATTACACATACAGGTATATGACATAGATAAAATGATAGAAACGTGTTGTAAGTTTATCTCTGAACATATATCACTGTGTATTCATTAACAATATAATACTTCATACTGACAACCAAAGAAATCAGTAAAATCCCTTTTGGATGACAGGACTAACTGCATTTAAAGGTAACAACATCCTTACTTATCTTAAGTTCTTAACATACAGTGTAATTATCACTTTAATTGGTTATAATCTTTTTCTCTTATAGGCTAATCCATGCAAATTAAACAAAAGCATGCTATACAGTATACATCCATATATATACTTTTAATAAGCAATAGTCTAGATGAATGTATTATAATTGAGTATCACATAAACTTAACATTATGTTATCAATGATCCATGTAAATGAGGTCAAAGTCAGCAGAATCCTGCAAGATAGACATGTTCACCTTACAATCATACCTTCACCAAATAAAGTGGACTGATTTCTTATAGTATCTGACCCAATCACAAAAAAAATGAAGATTGACCAATGAAACATAAGTACAAGGTCAAGGTCAGATCATCCATGCCAGACAACATCTACACTATGCAATCATTCCATACACCAAATAAAGTTGACCTATTGCTTTTATATTATCTGAGAAAAAGACATATCAAAGAAAACTTAATTCTGACAAATAACCAAGAAAATGAGGTCAAGGACAGATGAACCCTGCAAAGACAACATGTCCACTTTACCATCATTCCATACAGCAAATATATTGCCATACTGCTTATAATTATGGCATCTGAGAAATAGACCAAACTGAAAAAACTGAACCCTCACCATGTGGATTCCTCTACCCAAAATAACGTTATTTGGCTCCAATGGCTCTCCATACTTTTAGAGGTCAACTGTATGACATTAATTTCGAAGTTGATGCATGTTCCCTCAACCTAATGCTACTTATTGTCATGTTTCTCAGGTTTAAGGTTTATTTTCTTCTTAACTGCGAATTTGGAAAATTGAAATTGGATAAAACTGGTTCTTCTGGAGGGGTGGGCTTCCCTTCTGTGTCCCGCAGGAATATAACTACTGATCGTGTTTATTATTGAAATACACTTAGGGAACGACAACTTCCGTTTGCAGGTCCAGTTGAAGCCAAAAATCAGGAAATTCCAGATATTTTGTGCAAATGACCTTCTTTAGACTGTTGTACCCACATTAGTTTCACTCTGACCTAAGCTTTGTTGTGATTAATATTTTCACTGTGGTCGAATGTACATGCAGACTACATTTGGATAAATCTATCAGTATCTGTCGGTCTTCCAGGTAAAGATAGGACGAAAAATCATCGTAATTGACGCTTTTTGCACCTGATGACCAACTTTATTGCAGATTCCCGCCCAGTGATCCCCCATCTTAGCTTTAATGGTATCAATATACATCAGCATCCAGTTAAAGCTCATTTGCATCTATAATTTGCATATTTTTGTAAATAAACGGAAATCAGACATTTTCTGAAAACAATTCAGTATGGTAAGAGTTATCATTGTCCAATAAACAATGAAATAAATGGAGAATGTGTCCATGGGCCACAGATGCCACCGCTTCTAAATATGCATGAGTCAATGTACTAATTAGTGTTGAAGAACGTACGGTGACCTATAGTTGTTAATTTCTGTGTCATTTGGTCTCTTGTGGAGAGTTGTCTCATTGGCAATCATACCACATCTTTTTTATAATTATTGACATTTTCTTTACTTTTAAATTTAATGACATATATTTCTACATGTTTTCATTAGAAATTGCTTGCAGGTTTGAGAGCTCTCATTGTTCAATAACATTTGGTTGAGGCAAACTAAAGTTAGAGAACGGAAACAACAGATTTAGCAATTTTTCCATTTATAAAGGGGCATAACTCAAGAACGATAATATTCAGCAATTTTTATGTTTATAAAAGGGCATAACTCATGAACAGTAAAAGTGCCACCCAATTTTGAACTTGATCTGTGTTTTGTGGTAATAAGCATTGTATACAAGTTTTATAACATTTGGTTGAGACAAACTAAAGTCAGAGAACAGAAACCAATTTTGGGGACTTATGGACTAGGGTAAAACTTTATGCCCCCTCCGCTACGGCAGGGGCATAAAAAAGGTCAAAGTCAGATGAAACCAGACAGATGGACATGTACACCTTACAATCATTCCATACACCAAATACAGTTACCTATTGCTTATAGGATCGGAGAAACAGACCAAACCACAAAAACCTGTACATGACCAATGAATCATGAAATAAAGTCAAATTCAGATGAAACATGCCAGTCCAAGTCGGACATGTACACCTTACAATCATTATGAACACCAAATAATATATTAGACCTACTAGTATTGGATATAATATCTGAGATATGGACTTGACCTAGAAAATTGATACATGAAATGAAGTAGGTCAGGTGAACTCTGGTCTGTGATGGACATATACACCTTGCATGGATATCATATACCAAATATTGTTATCCTTATACTCATGATCATAAATGAGTAATTCAATTGACTATAAAAAAAAAAGCGAACATTTTATTCAAGCAGTCGTTGAACCATGAAAATGAGAACAAGAACAATCCGCATATGAGTCTAAAACTTTCTAACATAAGGTATCTGCCTGCACAATATGAAGCATCCAGGTCTTCTACATTCTGAAATATAAAGCTGAAAACTAATAGTTAATGCAGACGTAACAGGATAGTGATCCCTATGTCTCGCATTCTGCGACAAAAGCCGCAGGCAAATAAAAAATAAGAGCTTTTTATCTTTGAATCAGACCATGAAGGAACATATCATTGATTATAAATATGTATTTATCTGACTTAATAAACATGTATTAATTGAAGATCTTTCATCATGATAAAGCCTCTATCAAATGACTGGGGACAAAGATGAATACAATGAAATCATTCTATTCTTCACAAGAAAATTTATTGATCTGTCAGACTTGTATTTTCTGATCTTTTCAGTCAGAGGAACATCTTATATGGTCCATAACTCTGCTATAGCTAGTAGACTATTAATCCTAGAGGTATTACCAGCCCAGTAGCAAGAACTTTGGTACTGGCCTGAAAACATAGATATTGGTTTTTTATAACTATTTGCTGTTATAAAATTTCAAAACCATCTTAAATAAGCAACTTATAGCTTGTATTCCTTGTTCAGTTTTGTCTTTACTTTAGATCCTCTTTGGTTTTATCATCTCTTCAACATTTGTATTAGGTTTTGACTTTCATATACTTTGGCCTCAAGCATCACTGAAGACACATCTGGTGCAGTAAAATTGGTACCAATAATATTATCTAACAGGTATTTACACTTGAAGACTAAAAAAATTTTCTCAATGTTTGAATTAACTCCCAATACACTTCTCCAAAACATTCACTTTATAATAAAAAGTTCTTTTTTAAAACCCCTGAAATTCTCAAGTTTTGGGAGCTAAAACCATGCCTCAACTGTACCATACCCAGGCCCCCCCTTTTGTGGGAAAAATTTGGTTGATTATATAGGGAATCACTGAAGCATGACTGGAGCCCCCCCCCCCCCCCCTTGATTATATAGGGAATCACTGAAGCATGACAAATGAGATTTCCATGGTCTATGAAATTGTACTTTTAGTTTTAAGAGAGACAATTCAACACTAACAGCAATGCAGTCAAGAGAAATTCCAAGAAGGGAAGAAAAAACAGTATCACTTTCTTACTTATAAAAGTTTTTAAAAATCTGGATGACTAAAGGAATTAACTCTGCCTTCAAAAAATGTTAAATGTACAAATGTACAAGTAAATATAATTACATGTACAATTGTTACTGCTTACTGCATGTATCCCGGAACTTCAGAACTTTTTGCTTTTGAGTATATCTCACATCTTCATACTCAGTACAAAAAAATGTAGATGACTACATACAATATTATACAAAATAAATAGCTTTTGTTCAAATATTTATATTATTAAAACTGAACACATTATGGTTACAACTAAATGTACTTGGAAAACCAAAAGATTAAGTTCTCCATGTATAAGTAAATCTAGTCCTTTCAAGAATAATCTCTTGCTCAGCCGACACTACAATTTTTCAACTGTTTCTATACATCTATCTTTGAAATAGATATGCCTGTCCATTTTAGGGTTATGATCCTTCTTACAGAAGAACGAAGTCAATGCCATATTGCTTTTGTCAGCGTTTTCATCTTCATCATCATCTTCCCATTTCACTGGGGCTGCATCTTTTTCTAAAATTATGGCTGCCGTAGACCAACTAAACCTAACAAATTGTGGAAAACCAAATACATAGTCCATATTGTTAGCAAGAAAACTTTTAGTGTTAGGATCGGCTGGATAGCCTGAGCCATACTGAAGATCTTCTGTATTTATTTCTTCTTGGAATTTCCATTTTTTGACAGCCTTATCTCTGGTGACTTTAGCACATATACTGGCAGCACTAACAATTGGATATAGAGAATCAGCTTTCTTTGCTACTGTGATGTCAATAGCTGGGAATATACCTTTAAGTTTCTCTTGGTACTTTGTTGGATCTCCCACTGTATCAACATAAACTTCAGCAATGTTAGCACCCCTTTCAATTGCGAGAGCCACCAGCCTGATTGCACAGTCATGTGATAAAGCATTAAGGTTATATTTTGTTCTACGAAGCATGCTAGTTGATATAAAGGTAGGGGAGAGCACTTCAACAATCCATCCCATCATTTCATTGGCTTCATTTATCTTATCAAAAATGCTCTCTCTTTGTTCCTCTGTCAAGGTCTTAGAATCGGCAAATCCCATTTCTCCAAATTTCTCCTTCATGGATATTGGACTGAAACAAATTCCATAAACCATAGGACCGAGAACTGGTCCCCTTCCTGCTTCATCTATTCCCAACCAGCATGGCTCGGACTTGACACATTCTGGCAGTGGAGATTCTAATATTAAATTCTTCATATTGTCTTCGTTCCCTAGCTTAGATTCCACTTCCTCCTTAACCTCCATATTGACTTTAATTACTGGTATTAAACAATCGTCTCCTGGATCTGAAGAGAAATTAAAATAGGAAATTTACAACAGTGCCTCTGTTTGAATATTGTACAAGTACAAGCATCACAAAAATCCCCATTGCTGGTTTTATGTTAGTAAAATCAATGTGAAAAATGGATTTTCCTAGATTAACATGATTAAAGGGTGCATCATTCTGATTAACAACCCTGTCATATAATTTAAAAATATCTAGTTCAAATAAAATAATATTTTAGAGCAAATCCCCTACTATTTTTGTTTTGAAAAATGATCAATCACACTAGTTGCAGTGAAAAATCTCCCCTTAAGTAATTTTTTAACTGAATTACATAGACAATATGTCATTGTATGTCAACAAAAGCATTTTATCATTTTTAACAGGTTTTTTCAACAATAAATGATTTAACACAATAAGCAGACATATCAACTAATGTTAAAAGAAGGGCCAAAAGCTTATGCATTGTGTCATATATGTTAATTTGATGTAAAAAGAAAAATGTCACGTTTCTGGTTTACCATGTTTACCCAGTCAACTAGTATATTTTACCCCATTTGAACTATTTCAGCCTAACATACACCAATGTATTAAAATATTTTGTAGTTAACTTGAAATTGATGACATCTAGCCTTGGGTCATAAAAACTTTGAGCATGATTGAAGTACTGGACTCAGAAATCAACCAATCAAAATACTGGAATTGGTGTTTCAAGCACAAATTTTGTACCTGGAGTTCGAGTAAAGTTTTAAGACAGAGAATCCTAATGTACAATCCAGTGCTTATAACTAAGTGAGTGACTAATGTATAACATTTGTACAAACAGAGGCTTCCTGAACAAAACTTCCCATTTTGATTTCTAAGTATTTACATACACCTTACTTCAGCATGCATGTTTAGTGTGCTTTGCACAAGAACTCCAATGCTCTTCAGTTATAACAATACAAACTTGTTCAAAATTTATGTGTCATTAATTCCTAATTATTACTAACTACTTTTTGCAGAATCTAAAATGTTTGTTTTAATCTGAAATTATCTGTGCATGCTCTGCAGATGATGGACATCTAAAATAAAAATGGGTTTGTTTGCCAATAAACATGAGGATGCTTGACTACAGCTTGACAAAACGGTACATGGAATCCATTGGATTTTAAGTATTCCCTTTCAGGTCTGAGCTTTATCACGGTCTAGTCAACATCTAATATTAGAAAGTGTGTACTTTAAAAACAAAAGTAAACTATTATCAAAAGGTTTTTTTTCATTTCATTACATTAATATAGAGTATAGAACTAGATTATGCATCTGACTGCTTCCATTACAAATTTCAAAGGATTCACTATCATTTAAATAACGGAACCCATATTTAAAGTAAATACCCATTTTATTTCTAAACAGTAAACATGAAGGTTTAAGTTTTGAATATATTTACAAAATTAGGTTTTAATATTTTCTTTTTCAACTTGTGGTGGTTGTTGAAATGTATATTTAAGTTTAACATGTATGTCATATTGATAAATAGTTCTTTTCTTTCATAGATCTTTTTTTCAGTACCATAACATTTATTATATTCTTCATATTGCAATAAACTAAAATATAAAATCTACAAACAATTAAATACCACCAAATCATAGTTCGTCACATCTGGTTTCATAAAAAAAGGGTTGAAAAAAAAATTATTCCCTTGAATTTGGCAGTTGTAGGAAATTAACCCTGCATTTCATTGCAGCAAACAAATTGTGAGCCATAAACCTATATCTTGGGTATTTCAAAGCACCATTCTTTTTTTAATTTGGTGTTTCTATTAACATGATTAAATATTTTTGGAAACTTGAGTTGACATGGTTACTAAAGCTTGTAAACAGGAATAAAAGGGGTGAAAATTTGATTGGTTATTTTCTGGTGATGGTTATTATCTTATATGCAATGAAATGTTATGTGAAATTTTCACTGTATAACTGGACAGGATAAAATTTGACTCATGCCAAGAACATGTATTTCTTTACTTGAAACAAAGATAAAGTTCTTCTGCACAATTTTTTGAAAAGTTACAATTTAACAGACTAATAGAGGAAAACAATGGTGGTATTACTCCTTAAATTAAAATATCTTTATATGTATATATAATGTTATGCTTATTTATTTATGCACATTCAATGTACATGTACATGTTAACTCAAGTGGCAAAATTAAACTACCTTACTTGGTTTATATATTCTTTATTGAAAGCCCCATAATTTTCTTAAAATGACCATGTGAAACACTATGATAAGGCCAGACTTTTTTTATTATCTGTTTAACGAGATCCGCCGACTCCAATTTCCCAATTTCAGAATAAAAATAAAAGAAGTGCTTTTTACTTTTATTTTTCCCGCCGACTGTTACGAAATCCTCAGAACAAAAATAAAATCTGTGGTTTACGATACCCGCTTTCGTCATCGGTAATATTTAATTTTTACCAAGTCGATGAAACAGCAATTTCAAAGTAAAGAAATTAAAGGCATAAAAGATTTATGACTTAAAAAAAGAGGTTAAAGCATTGATTTTTTAAGCTGGTGGCATGTTTTTTCATAAAAACAATTTGTTTAAAACCACTTTCGCCGGTACTTGTTACACGAGAGAGTACATCAAATCATTCTAACTTTCGGCTAAATAAGTTATTACTTCATTTGAACTTGATGAAATTAGCCTGAAGTAAATTTGTAATCCATGTATTGCATTAAAAACGTCATATTCCTTTCCAAAAAGCGTATCAAACATCGTTTATTTTTGTAAAGTTGTCTCCGACATTTAAATTATTGGGTATATTTTTGAAGAACTCCGGATCGGAGTCTGGATTTTATTGGAAGCGGACCTGCTATGACCGAAATCCCGATTCTTGCGATAATGACTGCGGACGCATGAATGGCACTGCTGACAGACAAAAATTGATCCCAAAAGGAAAAATTACGCATACCACACGCATTAACGTACTTTTGGTTAGATATTTTTGATTAATGTTTATATTTCCTTTTTAATGCATTGTTTCAATATATAAGTTAATGTTGCTCAACCATGTCTATTACACTAATATAAAATAATAATATTATTTCCAAGCTTAACGGTTAAATAAATATATCTTTTTAATGAAAAATAATTAATTTCATGAAAATGATAACAGAGTAGTTTTTTTAATTGAATTGTATATACAATATAAACATGTAACATACACTAAGAGGTTCCTGACTGGTAATATACATACATATAGTGTATATGCAGGGAGGTTGATATATTTATATTTGCCTGGTGCATATGCATGGATCTAAATTTATAGAGGACATACAGAATCAAAAGATATTTTTTATGTTCATATTAATAGAAGGGTTAATATACTGGTCTGTTTTCATTTCATTGTTCTTGTAAATTCTTATAACATGTATAATGGTTTTATTTTTATTTTTAGTGTCAACTGGACCAACTTTGCACTTTTATTTTTTTTTTATTTCGTCCCCTTGACCCTAATTTTTTACAAATTTTCTCGTTAAATAGATAAAAAAAAAAGTCTGGCCTAATGATAGTTATCAAAATAACATGGATTGGATACATGACATAATTAACTCTAAGCATTTCCCCAAAGAACATAACTGTACACTCAATTTTTTTCTCAGTATAATTCTACCAGTTGTTTAAAGATAAGATGGCTTTCCCTTCTTCTATCCCAATATACAAGATTACTTTATTAGCCAATTATGGTGCCCATTGCTGAGCCTAGTAATCATTCATAACAGAACAAATACATTAAACAAAAATAAAATCTTTGATCAACAATGAATTCAATCATTGGTTAGAATGAAATGACAAAATAATGACAAAAAGAATAATAATTTAAACTTGTAAGAATACATAAATCTAATTAACCAGCCCTTTCCATAGAAGCTGGTAGCAGGCGGTTTTCTCTGTCTATAGCACAGAAATCAGCCAACTACTTTACCCCTTTAAGAAAATCACAAAAAAATGTTTTAGAGAGAGATTGATACGATAAAAATAGTTCTATTTCTAACCTTATAGTGTTTTAAAATAAAATTCCTTGTTGTGTATTCGTATATATGTTGGAACAGGATCGCTGTCAGTTTCTCTGTAAGAGTAATGCAACAATAGTAGTTACCAGTTGTTGTCATTCCAAGCATTGTTCGTAAGATGATACCTGACTGGCCGATTGGCAAGTCCTTTATTTAACCGGACTACAATTGGTTCGCTTATTTTAGCTTACGTGTATCATGGCAAAACATAAACAATGCGACATAACCCATTGGGTACAAAAAGTACAGAAACAAGGTGACTAATAAAAAAAAAACTGGATGACAACTGATTATATTATATGAATTTCAATGATTGTTGGGAAAAGAAAAGATATCTTTCTCATAAAGTAGATCGATTTTCTAACCCTAATTTAACAGTAAAATGTGCTGACTGCCCCTTCTATGCTATTGTTAAAATTCATAGTTTACAATTGTATTCAGCTTTGTTCAGCAGCGACATTTAACATTGTTTAATAAATTGTATAACAAAATGTGTAGAAATAAATTCATAGAGAACAAGAATGTGTCCATAGTACACGGATGCCCCACTCGCACTATCATTTTCTATGTTCAGTGGACCGTGAAATTGGGGTCAAAACTCTCTAATTTGACATTAAAATTAGAAAGATCATATCATAGGGAACATGTGTACATGTACTAAGTTTCAAGTTGATTGCACTTCAACTTCATCAAAAACTACCTTGACCAAAAACTTTAAACTGAAGTGGGCACCATCATTTTCTATGTTCAGTGGACCGTGAAATTGGGGGTCAAAACTATAATTTGACATTAAAATTAGAAAGATCATATCATAGGGAACATGTGTACTAAGTTTCAAGCTGATTGGACTTCAACTTCATCAAAAACTATCTTGACCAAAAATTTTAACCTGAAGCGGGGCAGAAGGACAGACGAAGGAACGAAAGAACAGATGCACAGACCTAAAAACATAATGCCCCTAGGTGGGCATAAAACGGGGTCCTGACAGCTAAAATAAGAAAATAGAATATTGCCAGATCAATGAGTAACCTATAACAATATACCCTATGGGTAGTGCTCCACAATTAATGGAGGAACTGTTTTCTTTAGAATATTAAAACTAAGGATAATTTATAAGTTACAGCAGATTCCATTGAGTGTGTAGCCAAAGGTAATATCTTTGGTTAGCTTGCTTGTTAGCTGAACCGTGAAGTCATTATTAGGTCAGGTATACTACCCTCCTTTCGAAGTAGCATAGTCCAACAGACAGATCGATTGGTTTTCTGTCGGACTAGTCTATTCTTAAAGTAGGGTAGTTTACCTAACCTAACAATGACTTCACGGTTCAGCTAATAAGCAAGCTAACCAAAGATATTACCTTTGGCTACACACTCAATGGAATCTGCTGTAAGAAGAAAACAATAAATATACCTGTTGTAATGCCCTGTATCATATGGCTTGTAAACTCTTTTCTATATAAGAAAATTCAAAAAGAATTTGTTTTAAAATATCCTTTTTAAGACAGTCCCATCTTGGCTTGTAATAACAGAAAATATCTAAATGCTTTGTTACCAAAATTTAAAATTCACAAAAGATTCCAAGAGCCTTGAAGAGGCAGTAAATGAACAAAAGACACTAGATTGGTATACTTCAAAATTTTAATAAGGTAACAACTAATGTGAACCACAATTCATTAAAAAATTAAAAATTCACAGAATTGTTATGATAATATACATGATATATCACATCATGATACAATTAACTGGTATACAGCTTATATAATATGAATGTGATGGCAATAAAAATGTAAAGCTCATTTGATCCTATTCAATGAAGACCAATATTCCTACCCAGCTCTTTATGCTTGACTTGAGATTTTGCACACATTGTTCTGTTTATCATGTTTTATAATAAAGTCCAATAATATAGTCTTATATATAAGTTCTGAGACTACTATAACACATGTGTTATAGTAGTCCTGGGAACAGTATATCTAAATACATATGTTCCTGAGTAGTCTCAGATAAGTTATTAGTCCAAATAATTATGCCATTTTTGTACAGCTTTTTGATAATTTTTTTTTGGACGCCTTCCTTCAACGTATTCTTATATTAAAAGCTATATTCTTATATTAAAAGCCAAAAAAATGAAAATACTGGCATAGCTCCTCTAAGAAGTGAAGGTACATTGCACTCAAATCCATCTGAGAAAGCAAACATACTGAACAAACAATTTCAGTCAGCTTTTACATCTGAAGCAAATACCGACATTCCAGATAAAGGTCCTAGTATTCATCCCAAAATGACAACCATAACAATATCTAGGGATAGTGTTTATAAACTTATCAAAAACATAAACCCTAATAAAGCTACTGGTCCTGATACCATCGCAGGCAAAGTACTCAAACAAAACATTGAGATATGTACAGACATCCTCACATTAATATTCACCAGATCATTAGAAACAGGTAAAGTACCATCTGACTGGAACCACGCTAATGTCACACCTGTATTCAAAAAAGGGAATAAACATAACCCAGGTAACTACAGACCTATATCCTTAACATGCATAGCTTGCAAATTACTTGAACACATCTTTGCAAGCAGCATGATGCAACATCTCGAAACCAATAACACACTGTATGAATTACAACATGGATTTAGGGCAAAGCGATCATGTGAGTCTCAAGTTATCTCACTCATTCATGAATTATCACAAAATAATGACAAGAACATACAAACAGATCTCATAATCATGGATTTTGCCAAAGCTTTTGACAAGGTACCACACAAAAGATTACTATATAAAATGAAATACTTTGGCATATCAGATCAAATCATAAACTTGGTCGAATCCTTTCTTTCAAACAGAACTCAAACAGTACTTTTAGAAAACACGTCATCTTCAAAAATACCAGTCACATCGGGTGTGCCACAAGGTACAGTGCTAGGACCTATACTTTTCGTTATTTACATAAATAACCTTTCAGAATACATCAAACATAGCAAAATCAGACTCTTCGCAGATGACAGTATAATTTACAGACAAATTAAATCTCAAAACGACTGCCTCAAGCTTCAAGAAGATCTAGAAGCCGCCATACGATGGGAGCAAGACTGGCTCATGTCTTTCCACCCAGACAAATGCAACATCATGAACATAACAACCAAAAGAACTCCCATCCACTTCTACTACAACATGTATGGGCACATCTTAAAATCAGTAAAACATGCTAAATATTTAGGTATCACAATCTCTTCAGATCTAAAATGGAACACCCACATCCAACAAACAGCCGCTAAAGCAAATAAATCTTTATGTTTTATCAGAAGAAATCTCAAAGTCCAGTCACAAAAAATAAAAGAAAGAGCATACCAAACCATCATAAGACCCAAATTAGAATACTGCTGTACTGTATGGGACCCCTATACAAGCGAAAACATTAGATCATTAGAAAAAGTACAGAGACGAGCGGCAAGGTATGCATGTAACAGACATCACAATACCAGCAGTGTGTCTGAGATGCTAGACACCATGAAATGGCAAACATTACAAGAACGCCGACTAAGAACAAGGCTAATAATGTTCCACAAAATTATAAACGAAAATATTGCCATTCCATCGCAAAATTTACTACAAAAGAGTCAGTCCACCACAAGATCCACCAATAAAGATGCTTACCGACAAATCCAATGTAACAAAGACAGCTACAAATTTTCTTTCTTTTGTCAAACAATTAAAGACTGGAACAAATTATCCTCAGTCATAACAAAAAACACCACCACAGAAACTTTCAAGGATGCACTCACTCACGATGTGCTCCTTCAGACCTTGATACCTATCCACACCTGAAGTAATCAGGCAATCATGTTTTTATCTTAAATTAAAAATAAAAATAAAAAATGAAATATTAGAAAAACTACATAAAAACGAAAAATCTAAAAACAAAGAAAATTGTAAAAATGAATAATAATATAACAAATATACAAAAATATGGAATACAAAAAATTTGACAATCTATGTTTAACTGCATTTATAAATACATAAATTTGAAAAAAATTTACCAGGTATGCGCCGGAAAGTAAACATCAGTATGTTGATGGTTTTCTGAAACTGAAGAAGAAGAAGAATAATAGGACTTTTTGCTTGTTTTTTTTTAGAATGTCAATATTATTTATATTGGATTCCAAAATTTTGAAAAGAAGCGTACCAGATGAAGATAATTGCATATCATATGTTTTATATTATGTAAGAATTTCAAAATATAATGTTGTCAACTTACATTATTTAACAGCTCGAAGAGTTAAAGAGTGTGGTCAAAATCTTCTCACTTTCGCGCCATTTTTCCAGTGAAACAACCAGAGGTGCTCCGAAATGCGGTCGTCTACTTTACCGCAGCTTCTTCTCATTCAAGGGGTGCAAAAAAACGTTTGATTTTTAGTAGTAAATAACGTCCGAAATTGTTGAAGTCCGAAAAAATTACCTGAAATCGTGTAAAACATGTAGATTCTTCACATACTGACTGCGTGTCATGAAAATGCGCACGCACATGCATTATCCGGTTAAGAATGGCTGACACTGCCAAACGGGAGAAAATCGCTGCTGCTAGAAAGAAGGTTATCATCTAATTTCGTTACCCGTTTAATACTCAATTTTCGTAGATATTGTACAGGAAAGTATGGGTATTTTGTCCATATCAAATGACCCACATAGTAGTTTGGTTTCCTAATATTTTCTTCCTTTTCCCTCCACAGTTATTTTGACAGCAGCCGGTTCATCAGTTCAATCATGTACACAGTGATACGATATATTAATGGAGACAGTCGTTATTGCATATATGTAAAATGATAAACAGTGTACATGTACTATAGGAGCCTTGGTGGCTGAGTGGAATATGTAGTTTATCAACAGTGATCACTACTACACTACTGTCACTAGCCTGTAAACATAGACCTTATTGCTAGTTTGGAATCTAGGAACTTTACTTGAGAATCTTCAACATTTGAACTATTGACATCATACAACAATCACTTTTCCTTTGAGGCGTCAGGCATTTTCTTTTGTGACGTGAAAATTTTACGGGAACTTTTGTGATGTCTAGTAATTGTCCTGGTGGTGGGTTGTATATAAGTTAGTGACACATCTCCATTAATCCTGATAGGGAGTGTACATGGATTCCACTGTACCCTCTCAGCAATCGAGGGGTGCTCCGTTCAGGGAGGGATCTCCGTACATACAATACAATACAATGGCGGACAAATAGTGATAAAGGTGTATTGAGGTTGTAAAAGAAGTTTAGAACCCCTCTCGTGGCTAGTTCCGTTCTTAGTATTTCAATCTGATTAGACTATGACTGTCTTTTCCTGCTTAAGGTTGGATAAAATGGGTTATACAGAACAAATAGTCGAATCAACTATAATATATAGGAAGATTAAAATTGATAAGTTATTAGATCTAGTAAGAATTTATCTTGGTATTCAGTTGAGAGTTTATGTATGTTGACAGGCTGACAGTTTATCACATGTATGTTGAAAGCTGACATTTTGACTGTTTTACTAGTTACAGTTTGGAACTGATAAAATGAATTTATGTATCGTAATAGGTTTGCTCTGGAAAAAAAAACAGCTCAGCTGTCAACCAATTATTCTAATATATACATTATACTGTCTTTTTGTCAACCTCAAATCTAATACCTGTTGACATGAAAACCTCTGATTTATACATCTTAGATTTGTCAACACTAGCTGTCAACCAATTGTTCCAATATACTCTCTACTCATCAATGGTATCCGGTCTGTTCGCCCTACTTTTACAGAAAAAGTATATTAATATTAATCAGTCAGGGATATAACTCTATAGGGTTATTACAGAAAATAACTTGCATGTGTTATTACAGATACTTTTATGAGTTGTCTACTCTTTAATACTTAAATTTACTAAATCTGTAATAACATATGTTTGTTATTTGTAAAATAAACCATAAATATTTTTATTTTTAGTGGGCTCGAGGGAACTCTTGAAACTTTGCGCAGAAACTAAATGCATAGCCTTGATAACTAACTATTAATTTAGATTAATACATTTTTCATTAACCATGGTAAATCAATGAGACAAGGCTTTTAAGTGATTAACTTAGCTGTAATAACAAGGCTTAGTTATTACAGGCATGTAACTTCTTAAATGAGACACTTGGGAATTACTGGGAAGCTTGCGCAGAACCTCATTACATGCTCTGATCATTACTTCTTACAATAAATTAAAATTCATTGTAATTGAGCATGATCTATGTCTGAGCAAATGCTTTGAAGTGATGTAGAGAAGCTGTAATAACACCCTTTAGTTATTACAGGCATATTTGTTCTGTTATAACATAGGTGTGATATGCATGATTGGCAAACTATGAACTGTTATATCTTTCTATAGTTAAGTATAGAGACATAAAGACAGTAGCAATATCAATAGAACTTGTATACATTTTAACAAAACTAATGATGTATATTGTCCCTTTGAAACATATAACATACATATGTTATCACAGTTCTTTGATTTTTTTGTCCACAATAACAAGCGTATGTTATTTTTCTCTAATAACCCTATAGAGTTATATCCTTGACTGTTAATGGTATTAAGGTTTTAGTAAACTTACTGTAAATTCAGAAATTATTGCGAATAATGCCATTTGCATTCTGATATCTGACATATATTTGTATGCAGCTTTTCCACAAATCGCAATAATTAATCTCGCATTTTTGTCCATTCTGCAAAAATCGCAATAATAAATGCATGCAATAATTTCTGAATTTACATTATTCATATACCATGTATACAGTGATATACTGATATGGATAATATTGAACAAAATATATATATTTCTCAAAATTCATGAGAAAACATGGAAATATTTAAAATTAATGTCTTGTTTTGGAGCATTAATTGTTCTTAATTATAATGTCTTTGTAATGATTGTTGTATTAATAGTATTTGGTGGATTTATAATGAAAACAACATTTTTATAAAGTAAACTAGTCAGCTTGGAATGATGGTGTATGAATTGTAAAACATGAAAAGGAAACTTTGAATTATCTATAAACATGATAAATTCATTTATTATTACACATACATTTACTGTCTAGATTGACTTACTAGAATTATTGAGAAATGAGAACTATTCCTAAATTGGTCACTCTGAGCTATTAGAACTGAAATGGGACTCTTACCAAATTTCTGAAACTTAATATTTTGTGTCCCTTTTTTGGATAAGATCCAAGACAAACATATTTTCTTCAGTTTTTTTTATACTTGGCAAGATAGTAAAATGAGGATTTTTTGGAAAAAATACAAAAATTGGAGATTACCACAATGGTAGCGGACATCACCCTGTCAATGTCTGAATGATTTTAATTTATGTAAATACTGATATTCATGTCAGCTCAGTTAAAATAAAGGTTAGATTGTTTGCCCAATCATTATTTTGTTGTCTGGTATATCAAATTCAGTGTTTGTAATCAATTCTTTTTTGCTAAACTATATTAGGGACACGTGTCCATCAAATGTTTTTTTTAAGATTGTGTTCAAAAATCATGAGGCAACATTAGGGAATTTTACAGAAAATCAAGGGCGACATAAATTCCTCCCTAGGGCTTCTCTAGAGGAAATTTGGGCATCCTAGGGAGACATAGTCGCTCACTTGGCCTGGTGAGGTGACCCTTGATCTTACATTTAAATATTTGCAAATGTTTATAATTACTGTGTTGTAAAGTTGAATCCTGCTGCCAGTCATGCCAGTGACTCGTTAGAGTTTGATTCAATAATTAAATCAAAATTAAGCCTGTAATAGTCATATAGACATGATAGATGACTAGATGACTGTTGACTAGTGTTAAATTAATAGTAAAGTTCTTATTTTTTTATTTTCATGGCAGATTATGATAAATGGAAAGCAGTAATGTATGCATATACATTTTTTTCAGTTGAACCAGTTTAAGAAGAAAACTGGGAAGACTTCTCCAGCAAATGCTAAAAAGTCTAAAATCAATGATGAATGTACACAGAACCCAGAAAATGATATAAAGCAAACAGCTGAAAACACATTCCAAAACATAAATGGTAATTCTGCAGCAGAAATAATCCAGGTAAAACACATCCTTAAACATAAATGGTAGTTCTACACAAGATAAATTCAGGTAAAAACCCTTCCCTAAACATATATGATAATTCTACAGGTCAGATAAAATACAGGTAATACAAATTCCAATAGACAAAACATAAATGATAATTCTACAGATCAGATAAAATACAGGTAATACACATTCTAATAGACAAAACATAAATGATAATTCTACAGATCAGATAAAATACAGGTAATACACATTCCAATAGACAAAACATAAATGATAATTCTACAGATCAGATGAAATACAGGTAATACACATTCTAATAGACAAAACATAAATGATAATTCTACAGATCAGATAAAATACAGGTAATACACATTCTAATAGACAAAACATAAATGATAATTCTACAGATCAGATAAAATACAGGTAATACACATTCTAATAGACAAAACATAAATGATAATTCTACAGATCAGATAAAATACAGGTAATACACATTCCAATAGACAAAACATGAATGATAATTCTACAGATCAGATAAAATACAGGTAATACACATTCTAATAGACAAAACTTAAATGATAATTCTACAGATCAGATAAAATACAGGTAATACACATTCTAATAGACAAAACATAAATGATAATTCTACAGATCAGATAAAATACAGGTAATACACATTCTAATAGACAAAACTTAAATGATAATTCTACAGATCAGATAAAATACAGGTAATACACATTCTAATAGACAAAACATAAATGATAATTCTAAAGATCAGATAAAATACAGCTAATACACATTCTAATAGACAAAACATAAATGATAATTCTACAGATCAGATAAAATACAGGTAATTAACATTTTAATAGACAAAACATAAATGATAATTCTACAGATCAGATAAAATACAGGTAATACACATACTAATAGACAAAACATAAATGATAATTCTACAACAGATATAATCCAGGTTTGTTTTAAATAGAAAATGTCCATTTTTCCCCATATGTAACTGTTTAGACATTTTGACTTCGACGAAATTAATGTTCGTTTTTGTGATAAAGATACATCTACAGATGGTCCGAGTACACAGTTATCGTCCTTTGATTTTCGTTGTCCTCAAATGTAGTCCCTAGTGTGGACAGTGTGTTACTTGCCATTTTTTTTTATACCCCTTCCAAATTTATTTCTCCATGTTTTATGACTCAAATAGCAATTAGGGGGGTGAAATGACACTGTAAAAAAATTTGGGTCATGAATTTTAAAGTAAAGTAGTGATTTGGTCCAGCTGAAAAATGTTAAAAATTAGCACTTTGGAAGCTGTCAAAAGATTTGAAGACCCCCTTAACATAAAATTGTCCATATTTTGAGTTAGAGCCGATGAAGTTTTCTATAATTTTGATATAATTTGTCCCAAAAGTAGTACAACACACTGTAAAAATATTATTGAGAAAGCGCAGGTGGGATTTTTTTAATTTTCATTTATTGTCTAAAAGAAATGCACTACGAAATAACTGTGTACTCGGACCTAAGAGGTGAAATCAGGAAATATAGAATCTGTACTTTGGCAACTTCCTTGAATGATTTGATGGTGTCAATTTGTCAAATAGCATAAAACTAAAGGATTTAAACTTTTATTTGATAGAATTTCTGCAAAAATGACCAATTTGGGCATATTATGGTCAAAATAAGCATTTCATAGCTTTTTCAATTTTGATGCATAAGTGGCATTCTGACTTTCTATCTGACAGGTTTTTATGTGTCAATATTTGTGTTTCTATGCTTCAATCCAGTTGTATTACTCATTTGTGAACTCTGAATCTACAGAAAAGAAGATTATCTCAGACAATATGTACAAAATGTGTTGTATATATGACCCTCGTCTAACGCCCTGTTTGGATCAAGTTAAATGTGAGGAGCTTGGAACATAAAAGTTGAAGTCCATAATAAAGACCTCACTAAATTTGTATAAAAAGCACTTAACAATGTCTTTTGTACCTGTTTCATGTCACATAATATCTTTCTTTTCTTCTGTAGGATAGCAAGTGGTTCAAATATAAGCTTGTTGCGACTAAAATTGCATGCATGTTTTTCACTAAAAAGTGAAAAATCTTTGTATCAGACCATACTGTCAGCAAAAAAAGTTGAATGCAAGAGTCTTTTTGTGCTCAGATTTATTGTATCATGTCACCTGAGTATAGAAATGATAGAAAAGACACAAATTTTTATTTCCTATAGCTTCAATATGCATTTTTAAATGTAAATATGTGCTACGGCCTAAATTGACCCTAAATTATTTTCAGTCTTACTTGGCCTAAGACCCTTTTAAACTAATATGATATGTTATTTGTGAGTTTTCTTTCCATTTAAAGTACATTAAATATATATGTAAAGATGATTTATAACCAAAAAGCTTTACAAATTTAAAATTGCTGGAAAATATTACATCTTCATGTAAGGCCCCCCTTCATTGGAAAACCTCCATTTTTAGGCACAGGCTCATATAAATTTGACTTTTTAATAGTTATGATAAGTCTGATAAATCAAATGAGTACTCAATTGCTTTTAATACATAATATTTTATATATTAAGGCATTTCAAAAGTATTTTTTTGCAATATTTAAATTTTTTAAGCCCCAAATGTTGATAGTTGAAATTTTTCAATTTTAACGTCTACATTTAACACGCAAAGTTGAATATAGAATTAGTCATATTGTCTATGATATATATCCTATTGCCATGAAACTTTGTAGGCAGTCTTATAATTTATTAAGCTTTGGTCATACCAAGTTTCATTAAGATTGGTCAACTTTTTCTACCCTATTAGGTCCGAGTACACAGTTATCGTCCTTTGATTTTCGTTGTCCTCAAATGTAGTCCCTAGTGTGGACAGTGTGTTACTTGCCATTTTTTTTTATACCCCTTCCAAATTTATTTCTCCATGTTTTATGACTCAAATAGCAATTAGGGGGGTGAAATGACACTGTAAAAAAATTTGGGTCATGAATTTTAAAGTAAAGTAGTGATTTGGTCCAGCTGAAAAATGTTAAAAATTAGCACTTTGGAAGCTGTCAAAAGATTTGAAGACCCCCTTAACATAAAATTGTCCATATTTTGAGTTAGAGCCGATGAAGTTTTCTATAATTTTGATATAATTTGTCCCAAAAGTAGTACAACACACTGTAAAAATATTATTGAGAAAGCGCAGGTGGGATTTTTTTAATTTTCATTTATTGTCTAAAAGAAATGCACTACGAAATAACTGTGTACTCGGACCTAAGAGGTGAAATCAGGAAATATAGAATCTGTACTTTGGCAACTTCCTTGAATGATTTGATGGTGTCAATTTGTCAAATAGCATAAAACTAAAGGATTTAAACTTTTATTTGATAGAATTTCTGCAAAAATGACCAATTTGGGCATATTATGGTCAAAATAAGCATTTCATAGCTTTTTCAATTTTGATGCATAAGTGGCATTCTGACTTTCTATCTGACAGGTTTTTATGTGTCAATATTTGTGTTTCTATGCTTCAATCCAGTTGTATTACTCATTTGTGAACTCTGAATCTACAGAAAAGAAGATTATCTCAGACAATATGTACAAAATGTGTTGTATATATGACCCTCGTCTAACGCCCTGTTTGGATCAAGTTAAATGTGAGGAGCTTGGAACATAAAAGTTGAAGTCCATAATAAAGACCTCACTAAATTTGTATAAAAAGCACTTAACAATGTCTTTTGTACCTGTTTCATGTCACATAATATCTTTCTTTTCTTCTGTAGGATAGCAAGTGGTTCAAATATAAGCTTGTTGCGACTAAAATTGCATGCATGTTTTTCACTAAAAAGTGAAAAATCTTTGTATCAGACCATACTGTCAGCAAAAAAAGTTGAATGCAAGAGTCTTTTTGTGCTCAGATTTATTGTATCATGTCACCTGAGTATAGAAATGATAGAAAAGACACAAATTTTTATTTCCTATAGCTTCAATATGCATTTTTAAATGTAAATATGTGCTACGGCCTAAATTGACCCTAAATTATTTTCAGTCTTACTTGGCCTAAGACCCTTTTAAACTAATATGATATGTTATTTGTGAGTTTTCTTTCCATTTAAAGTACATTAAATATATATGTAAAGATGATTTATAACCAAAAAGCTTTACAAATTTAAAATTGCTGGAAAATATTACATCTTCATGTAAGGCCCCCCTTCATTGGAAAACCTCCATTTTTAGGCACAGGCTCATATAAATTTGACTTTTTAATAGTTATGATAAGTCTGATAAATCAAATGAGTACTCAATTGCTTTTAATACATAATATTTTATATATTAAGGCATTTCAAAAGTATTTTTTTGCAATATTTAAATTTTTTAAGCCCCAAATGTTGATAGTTGAAATTTTTCAATTTTAACGTCTACATTTAACACGCAAAGTTGAATATAGAATTAGTCATATTGTCTATGATATATATCCTATTGCCATGAAACTTTGTAGGCAGTCTTATAATTTATTAAGCTTTGGTCATACCAAGTTTCATTAAGATTGGTCAACTTTTTCTACCCTATTAGGTCCAAGTACACAGTTATCGTCCTTTGATTTTCGTTGTCCTCAAATGTAGTCCCTAGTGTGGACAGTGTGTTACTTGCCATTTTTTTTTATACCCCTTCCAAATTTATTTCTCCATGTTTTATGACTCAAATAGCAATTAGGGGGGTGAAATGACACTGTAAAAAAATTTGGGTCATGAATTTTAAAGTAAAGTAGTGATTTGGTCCAGCTGAAAAATGTTAAAAATTAGCACTTTGGAAGCTGTCAAAAGATTTGAAGACCCCCTTAACATAAAATTGTCCATATTTTGAGTTAGAGCCGATGAAGTTTTCTATAATTTTGATATAATTTGTCCCAAAAGTAGTACAACACACTGTAAAACTATTATTGAGAAAGCGCAGGTGGGATTTTTTTAATTTTCATTTATTGTCTAAAAGAAATGCACTACGAAATAACTGTGTACTCGGACCAGATGGGACAAGTTGTGTCCATCATAGCAGATCTATTTCTTTGTTTCTATGACTATATATTAAGTCTGAGGAAACATAAGTAAATTGATATTTTTAACATAATATTTAAATGACAAATTCGTTCCAAATGAATCCAGATTCTTCGTTGTATTACAAATATCATTTATACTTCTGATCTTGCCTAGAAAGTGACCTTATATCAATTATATATATTTATATCCAACAGTTTTAAAAAAAGAGGCGAAAGGTACCAAAGGGACAAAAAAATCATTCGTTGGAATTTAAAGAAACTAACAACACAGTGGGAAAAAAGTGAAAATTGTTTACAAAACACTACATACAAATGACATATTATATATTCTAATCTATGCTTTAAGAGAGTTAATATTTTTAGTACTACATTTAATATCTTTATGTTCATATATAAAAAGGAACAATTTAAGCTTTGTATAACTCAACACTGACATACATGTCCAAGTGGCAGAAATGCTGATTTGTCAGTCTACAGGCAAGCTCCACTACTGCAGACTAGTCAACTGAAAGTTGATGTTATTATGATTCAACAAAGATTGTTATTTATAAATGTATGTAAAGTAGTGTCATTGTAGAATTTTATAAGTATGTAAAAAAAAACCTATATGTTTTCATGTGTGTTTGTGTAGATTTGATAATCTGAAATTGTCTCCTACTTTTTATTCAGACTACAGATTCCCCAGACTCCATAGAAAACAGAACAGATAGTGAAGATCTAAAGTAAGTTAAATATACAAAACAACCAAAAAGTAAATATTTCATTCATTAAAAACTCAATTTCATTTTTAGTTTTATTTGAATTATATCAATGAAATGTTTGAAATTGCCAAAAAAAAAAAAAAAAAAATGTTATCTGAAGAATATTGACTCTTTAAGATCATATTTAGGAGATTCTAACTTTATGTGATGTATAGAAATAAAACATCAAATATAAAAGAGACCGATACAAATACACCTGTTCCAATATATGAATGAGGCTTTTCCAGAGTTGTTAATCTGTGTTCATTGGGGAGAGGGTGTGTTGTGTTTATTAGAATGATTTGCTGTTGAAGCACATTGATTTAATTAGAGTTATTTTCCTGATGCATGTAGTTTAAAGGAGGTTTGGTTTGCTTGCTTGCTTTGTTTGTATAAACATTTGCTCAAGCATTGTGATTAAAATTGACATCTGGAATCAATAGCTAGGCGGGGCTTCAGCTTGTATACATTATACTCTGCATTATACTTTAACATCCAATAACATTTAAGTATAATGTATACAAGCTGAAGCCCCGCCTATCTATTGATTGCAGATGTCAATCTTAATTACAATGCTTGAGGCTGAGCAAACATTTATACAAATAAAGAAAGCAAGCCAACAAAACCATTAAACTACAAGCAAAAGGAAAATAGCTCTAAAGGCTTTTTAAGTTTAAATCTAAATGATATTAATTAATTATTTTGAGACATACCGGGTATTTATTTTTATGCCCCCGCCGTAGCGGAGGGGGCATTAAGTTTTACCCTTGTCCTTTTGTACGTACGTCCCAAAGTTGGTTTCCATTCTCTAACTTTAGTTTGCCTCCACCAAATGTTATGAATCTTATACACAATGCTTATTACCACAAAACACAGATCAAGTTTGAATTTTGGTGGCATCACTTTTACCGTTCTAGAGTTATGCCCCTTTACAAATGGAAAAATTGCTGAATTTTTTGTTTCTATTCTCTTACTTTAGTTTGCCTCAACCAAATGTTATGAAACTTATACACAATGCTTAATACCACAAAACTCAGATCAAGTACAAATTTGGGTAGCGTCACTTTTACAGTTATTGAGTTATGTCCCTTTGTAACGTTATATGCAAGCAGGGGCGTCATCTGTGTCCCATGGACACATTCCCCATTTATTTATAATTGTAAATGTTATGCATAGATGGTGAATGTGAAGTCATCAAACCCCTAGCCCTCATTAATATCTGGAAAATATAATACAAACATCATTGCAACTTTCATTATTAATTTGTATCTTAATAAGTGATTTATTATTTTATTTTTGTCCAGTAAAATGAGAACACATCCCAATTTGCCTCCAGGAAGGTACTTTTAGTTTCTTTTTTAATACAAAATCTGTTTTCTCAATCTGTTGGTCACATGTAGATGTGGTTTTATATTAAATTGCTTTATTGAACTACAAAGGTATAATGGTATTTTACATCATGTGCATTATCTGAAAAGGTCTTTGAATTTAGAGTAATGTTTAGTAACATTTACATGTTTGTAAAATTCAGATATTTGTGGATCTTGGTTTTATTGATTTGTTATACAATGTAGTATTTATTCATACCTACTTGTGACTGACAGAATTTGATCTTTACACCTATTTGTGTTAATTTAATGTAACTGTCTCAAACATTTCCATGTGTAATCGGCATGAGATTGCTTATAATTAGAAAATAACTTTTGAATGAAATGCACGGATTTCTTAATAAGTATACTCCCCACATCATCTTTTCCTTATAGCTTCAGAAGTGTTCTAATACCATTTTTAGTGAAATTTTTGAAGAAAATTAATTTGAAGGCCGTACAGTTGCCTATAATTGTTCCAATCATTTGAACTTTGGTGGATAGTTGTCTCATTGGCAATCATACCACATCTCCTTATTTTTATATTGTACATGATAATGAAATCTCAATGAAAATTCCTGATATTAAATCTCTGAAGAATTTCTCTTAGTGTCAATGCTTATCCAATGAAAATATTTAACCCGTGTATAAAGCAAAAGATCATTGCTTTTTTATCAATCCATAATACAGACATGATACATGCACCAGTCTTCACGAGAAAATTTTAACTCTGTCAGGAAATTTCTGTAAGTTGATTGTATATGTCGGAACATGTTTTAGTTAATGGCATAAAAGTGGATTAAAAGTACAAAATTTCATTGATATGATATGCTGATATGCAGTCAATAGAAATTTAACTGATATTGAAATTTTGATTCAAGTTTGTATGAATTTTTAAGCTCTTAATATGAATTGTAGCTATGGTTGAATCCGATTTATTTAACGCAGATATGTTTATATATTTGTCTTTCACAATTGATATCTCCCACTTATTCTTTGAGACCCTTGCTCTTTCCTCTAGTGAATGCTAATATAAATGCTAAACTGATCAATGATCTGTCCCTGACTTTATATGCATCTATAAAGATAATTAAATAAATGTTTCTGAACTGTTTTCAACATATAACCGTCTTGTATATATATATATCTGATACTTTTTCCCAGACTATCCCGTTACGTAGACCTGTAGTTTCATAAATTTTGGTGTATATTTAATAGATACATATTATGTAGAAAGATAAGGTTGAATCATCAAACAATTTAGAAAAGGCCATATAAAGATTCATATGTTTTTTTTTATTATTAATTTTTAATCAAGCATGACTGAATACTCTTTACAATTTATCATAAGGATTAAATCCAAAACATACTTAATTTTATATTTTGCTATTGAATAGTTAAGGCAAATTCTAATAGAACATTTGTGTTATAGTCATATACAGTATATCTTAGGGGAATACTATATGTATGATTAACATTTATTATTCAGGACTACAGCCTCCACAGAAAGTCTACACCAACTATCCAGACAGTTAAATGGACTTTTGGCAGAGGTATAACAAGTGTTATAACAAAGTTGTTGCTACTTAGCTTTAACAAGATGAAAAATTATCATTAGCTGTATTTCATACCTACAATTATCATTTGAGAATAACATTGCATGTACTAACGAGTGTTTTAAAAAAACATCTGTAATGTGCAAATAAGGTTGCCACAGTTTTCCAAAAAATATTCAAAACATGTAAAAATTTCTGAAATTGGTAAAGTTTACATGTTTCACTGCACTCACTGCTAAGTTCAATCAACTGCTGCATACCATAGAAATAGGTACCCATTAATTTTGCCATGTACATCACAATTTGGGGATTTTTTTATTCATAATTACATCTTTTTATTTTCTATCATGTTTATACGTTATATTGAATGAAGGAATTGTTATGTTTTAGTCTAGTGCATTGATTGGAGCAGATGATATTGATACATCTAGTGTAGCAGAACTTGAAGTAAGTATGAATTATGTTTTACTTTCAAATGAACGTCAGGGCAACCTTTGTTAAATGAGATCAATATTTCAATAGGTGTGTTTGAGTCTACTCAAAACAAACAGGAAATACATACACTGACATAGAAGCTAAATTATACAAAGACTCTGCTAAACATCTCAAATGTCATGTAGATTGTCTCTCTCCTAACACTATATAATGTTACATTTTCTTACCAGCTATTACAGCAAGTAAATACAAATTTTGAGGTGTTGTATTAAAACAGTATGATACTGACCTTTTTATAACCCCTGCTGAGACGGGGTATATACTGCTTCTGTCATTCTCTCGTCTGTCCATCTCATGAAATACAAAGATAAAGCTTTCTGAAATTTGTTATCAGGCTTCATGAGCATGTTTTTTTTACACCCATCACTCAGCAACTTCCAGCAAGAGAATCATTGTATCAAAGTTAGCATAAGCTCATACTATATTTTGTTCTACCATTAGATGAATGTATGGAAAATATATGGAATTTTATGCAGATAAAAAAACTTTTTGTGAGTAGATATTGTAATTTGATTATTTTACAGAGAAGAAATCAAGATCTTGCTGCTTTGTTAGAGAAACATTCCCAGGCTAATGAGCAATTAAATCTACAAATACAACAGATTGTAAGTGATTTATCATACAGTGATTATTTTTTACACCAGTTTCAAGTTGTTTGCAATTTTAAGAAAGAAACTATTATTTTTTTATCAGCACTTCAAAAACAATTGATATAAAGGACCAAAATGTCATTGTTATAAACATGTCAATAGATAAACAGATGCCAGATTAAGTTCAGTTGTAGCCAGAACTGAAAATTTTGCTCCTCACATTTCCACGTTATTATACAACTGGCTTTCAAGTGAGTGAGTAATTTTTTTTGCACTGAAAATTGAGGTTTTTTTCAGGTCAGGACAGAATTTTGCATTGCAACAGGTATCCTTCAGAACGCTCAAAGGGTGGTTTCAAGAGTTCATGCACAGTCAAGGGTCATTCAATATAGAATCATATGTATTCAACAGACAGCTCATACATGTATTAAAGTATATTTTGTTATTATAGAGAGATCATTCTAAAAATCTACAAGGCCAACTAGAGAGAGAAAGAGAAAATTTTATTACAAAACAGAAACAGGAACTAGGACCATTAAAAGATCAACTTCAGGTAAGTGAAGCATATCAGTTTTCATCAGATTGATATTTAAGCTAGTTCACAAATTTATTATAAAAAAGACGAGATGTGGTATGATTGCCGATGAGTCAACTCTCCACTAGAGTATTAGCTGACTTACAATCTCGTTATTCCATGTTATGAATGGGTGAGGAGTCAATGATTTAAAAATAGTTACATGTAGATATCAATGTTATGATTACATCACACCTTTATTTTGTACTAGTACTGTTAACCAACCAAGTTTTGTGACCTTTGCTGGTAGAAAAATAACTTTAATATAAATCTTCACCAATATGTAAAACTTGGATCTTCTCATATAAATACATCAAGAAAATTCGAAAATTAGGAATATATATATAGTGAACAATGTGGATAAGAAAGTACTAAGTGCATAATAAAGTATCCGTGAACATAAGGTGGTGTACAGTATGTGAAAAAAGATAAAATGGCCTTCGCTGTTGAATAGTCGCCAATCAAACACTATGATTTCATTTTTTCCATTTTAACTTTTATGGTGTGGTAGAAAGTCATAATATATATATCATTAGGTTACACTTAATTCATACATTATATTCATTAATTTGATCTATATTATTATTGAGATTTCTTTGGCCTTTATTTTTTTACAAGGTACATATACAAACAATTGGCATATTAGTGGCAGAAAAAACTGAGACACAATCACAGTTAAACCAGTCACAGAAATTAGCTGAGACCAGGTTTAGTAAGTATCCTAAATAACTGCAATTGTTAAAATACATGAATTTGTAGACTGAAAATTTTAAATTAGTACAGGAATGTTTCAACTCCTTTCTCTTTGAAAGCAAAAAGTAAAAAAAAAAGCAATTTGGTTGATTTTTTAGCTCACCTGACCTGAAAGGTCAAGTGAGCTTTTCTCATCACTTTGCGTCCGTCGTCCGTCGTCCTGCGTCCGTCGTCCGTAAACTTTTACAAAAATCTTCTCCTCTGAAACTACTGGGCCAAATTTAACCAAACTTGGCCACAATCATCATTGGGGTATCTAGTTTTAAAAATGTGTGGCGTGACCCGGTCAACCAACCAAGATGGCCGCCACGGCTAAAAATAGAACATAGGGGTAAAATGCAGTTTTTAGCTTATAACTCAAAAACCAAAGCATTAAGAGCAAATCTGACATGGGGTAAAATTGTTCATCAGGTCAAGATCTATCTGCCCTGAAATTTTCAGATGAATCGGACAACCCGTTATTGGGTTGCTGCCCCTGAATTGGTAATTTTAAGGAAATTTTGCTGTTTTTGGTTATTATCTTGAATATTATTATAGATAGAGATAAACTGTAAACAGCAATAATGTTCAGCAAAGTAAGATTTACAAATAAGTCAATATAACCGAAATGGTCAGTTGACCCCTTTAGGAGTAATTGCCCTTTATAGTCAATTTTTAACCATTTTTCGTAAATCTTAGTAATCTTTTACAAAAATCTTCTCCTCTGAAACAACTGGGCCAAATTAAACCAAACTTGGCCACAATCATCATTGGGGTATCTAGTTTAAAAAATGTGTGGTGTGACCCAGCCAACCAACCAAGATGGCCGCCACAGCTAAAAATAAAACATAGGGGTAAAATGCAGTTTTTGGCTTATAACTCAAAAACCAAAGCATTTAGAGCAAATCTGACATGAAGTAAAATTGTTTATCAGGTCAAGATCTATCTGCCCTGAAATTTTCAGATGAATCGAACAACCTGTTGTTGGGTTGCTGCCCCTGAATTGGTAATTTTAAGGAAATTTTGCTGTTTTTGGTTATTATCTTGAATATTATTATAGATAGAGATAAACTGTAAACAGCAATAATGTTCAGCAAAGTAAGATTAACAAATAAGTCAACATGACTGAAATGGTCAGTTGACCCCTTTAGGAGTTATTGCCCTTTATAGTCAATTTTTAACAATTTTTCGTAAATCTTAGTAATCTTTTACAAAAATCTTCTCCTCTGAAACTCCGTGGCCAAATTAAACCAAACTTGGCCACAATCATCATTTGGTTATCTAGTTTTAAAAATGTGTGGCGTGACCTGGTCAACCAACCAAGATGGCCGCCACGGCTAAAAATAGAACATAGGGGTAAAATTCAGTTTTTGGCTTTTAACTCAAAAACCAAAGCATTTAAAGCAAATCTGACATGAAGTAAAATTGTTTATCAGGTCAAGATCTATCTGCCCTGAAATTTTCAGATGAATCGGACAACCCGTTATTGGGTTACTGCCCCTGAATTGGTAATTTTAAGGAAATTTTGCTGTTTTTGGTTATTATCTTGAATATTATTATAGATAGAGATAAACTGTAAACAGCAATAATGTTCAGCAAAGTAAGATTTACAAATAAGTCAATATAACCGAAATGGTCAGTTGACCCCTTTAGGAGTAATTGCCCTTTATAGTCAATTTTTAACCATTTTTCGTAAATCTTAGTAATCTTTTACAAAAATCTTCTCCTCTGAAACAACTGGGCCAAATTAAACCAAACTTGGCCACAATCATCATTTGGTTATCTAGTTTTGAAAATGTGTGGCGTGACCTGGTCAACCAACCAAGATGGCCGCCACGGCTAAAAATAGAACATAGGGGTAAAATTCAGTTTTTGGCTTTTAACTCAAAAACCAAAGCATTTAAAGCAAATCTGACATGAAGTAAAATTGTTTATCAGGTCAAGATCTATCTGCCCTGAAATTTTCAGATGAATCGGACAACCCGTTATTGGGTTTCTGCCCCTGAATTGGTAATTTTAAGGAAATTTTGCTGTTTTTGGTTATTATCTTGAATATTATTATAGATAGAGATAAACTGTAAAAAACAATAAATGTCGGCAAAGTAAGATCTACAAATAAGTCAACATGACCGAAATTGTCAGTTGACCCCTTTAGGAGTTATTGCCCTTTATAGTCAATTTTTAACCATTTTTTCGTAAATCTTAGTAATCTTTTACAAAAATCTTCTCCTCTGAAACTACTGGGCCAAGTTAATTATAGATAGAGATAATTGTAAGCAGGAAAAATGTTCAGTAAATTAAGATGTACAAACACATCACCATCACCAAAACACAATTTTGTCATGAATCCATCTGTGTCCTTTGTTTAATATTCACATAGACCAAGGTGAGCGACACAGGCTCTTTAGAGCCTCTAGTTTAATGAACTGCTATAGGTGTTGAGCAACACTTACAGTCAAGTTGCAGTAATCAATATATAGATTGACAATTTATCATTAATATTTCTTTAAATGTCCTTATTTCTGCCTGTCACTGAGAAATAAATAAACTGAAATTATACAAAGTATTTTATTTTAAAGAATTAGCTTTGTATATCATGTGTCATTAAAGAATCGCTATCAAAATTATATCTTTGCATAATTTGTTTAAAATAGATGAAATAGAAGAACTCTCAGGGAGATTAAAAGCTTCAAGACAAAGAGTAGCAGATCTAGAGAAAAGTCTTTCAACAACAAGTACATCTAGTCAACAGTTTCAAAAGGTTTTTTACAGTTTTATTTGTAAAGGGGTTGTTACATTAAAACATACACCTACTTTGCTTATTGTTGAAGGCTGTTAGGTGCTAACTTTATCATATGTTCTCTAGTGGAGAGTTGTCTCATTGGCAATAATACATCTTTTTTTTTAATATAGGACCCAGGGAAGACGCTTTCAAGTGGTGTATAAAACACCTATAGAGGCAATTTTAGAATTTCGCTCACATTTTTACTGTTGACACCCATCCATAGTTGAGATTTCAGAATGCCTTACCTTGGTCCAATGTATGTTTTAAGGGGACAGCCTTAACAAGTCTTTGTGAATTTTCACTTCCATTAAACTATGACTACATTTTATAAAGTGAATTTCAGCAAAATGCTGTAACAATAATGAAGCGCTTACACATTTTTTGTAATTTTTGAATTATTGATATTAAGTGCAACTTCAGAGAGTTACTGCATTTCTTTGTCAACCAAAGTTCCCATTCAATAACTCTATGCTTTAAACTCAATTTATAAATTAAAGTTTAATGTTTTTGTACAAGTTTTTCAGGTTTTAACATTTTTCGTGTTGCAGATAGTAAAAAGCCAAGTTCAAATTCATATGAAATGATCATATGTGTTTGAGACAAAAGAAATTATTAGCATGGCCCTTACTTATTTTAAAATCAGCATAAAACAAGAGTATTTGTCATTTAAGTAATATTTCTCTATTCGTAATTTCAAATTTGGAGATGGTAACAGCCAAGATGAGAAAAAGATTTTTTTTTTATTTCAGAGTAGTAAAGACTTTGCTAAAGATGTTGACAGATTAAAATTGGATTTGTATAAAGCAAAGTAAGTCTAAATTAAAATTGATTGTCTTTTTTTTAAATGCTGTTAATTCACTTTTTGATTATTAATCTTAATACTTAAATAATTAATTATTGATTTATTTACTTGACAATTATTTTATGCACAATTAGCATGAAAAAGAATACTTGTATTATGTTTCAACTTTATTTTTAAATTAAAAAGTGTAAATTTAGCTAATTAGAAACTATTATTTGGTATAGCATCAATACGTTTGTATGCCCTTCCTAGGATAGATAATATGTTTTCCGGCCTGTCTTTCATTTAGTCAGTCCTTCCGTCCCATATCAGGTTAAAATTTTGGTTTAAGGTAGATTACTATGAAGTTGTGGTCAATTCAACTTGAAACTTAGTACACATATTCATTATTACGTGAAATTTAAAAAAATGTGTCTATTACAAATTATGGTTTGAACCAGATTACACAGAAAATGGAAATTAGATAGTGTGAGTAGGGCATGGTGTCCTATGGACTAATAACCATTTTGTGTCTTAAATTTTAACAGTATTGAAATAAAGATAGTTTTTATATGCCATTTTCTGTTCACAGCAAATCAAATGAAGAACTGCAGCAACAGACTTCTGAATTGTCTGGTAAACTTCAAGCAAAGGTAGGTAATCCATGAAAAAGAACAAATCATTTTGCAGTCAAAGGAGAAGGTATGATAAGGTCTCTTTTTGACCCCTTGCATTGGAAAATCAAAAGTTATAAATCTATCTAATACATCCTTCAGAAGTTCATAAGATATCAGTATTAATAGTTTAAAAATATGTCTTTCATATTTGCATAAGAGCTTTAAACTTCTTACATTTGTGCAAAACTGAAAAAATAGCTTCATTTTGAGATATTGACATTTAAACTTTATTATGAGCAAGGCTTTAACAGAAAAGACAGAAAAGACACTTTGCTACATGATGTATTTTACAAAGATGTTAATGTGTGTAGAAAAAAATTTGTGCTTGAACTTGGGTATAACTATTTTGTCCAAAAACTATGTATGAATACGCTCATTTGGACAAATATGTCAATTTTAACATATTCATGACATCTAAAGTGACTATATCAACCTGTTCATTTAACAATAGAATTGCAGTGGTATATTTTTCAAAGGCTTGAATAATGTCACTATTTTTGCAATTTTAGAGGCGAAATAACCTCCTTCTTTATTCATATGAATTTTTTAAGAAAAAAATTTTATGTAATGATTAAGGTATTTAATGTCATTTGCTACAGACTGACAATCTTAGTACGAGTAAAATATCAAAAAAGATAATCGTAGTGTTTTACAGATCTACCAGCTGAATCACATTTATTGTAGTAAAAAAGTACACAAATTGAAATTAGAAAGTTTATATGCATTTATAAGAAGTGTTGAAATTTATAATTTCAAGATACCTAGGGAAGATACTTTTAACCTGCTTTAAGGACCTTGGTATTAAAGCATACTTGTTATGAATGCTTGTTAGCAGTCCTATGTTTTTAACTCTTTGTAATGTGCCATACTTTAATAGTGTAAAAGAGAGACAGAAGACACTTAAAAGGAACAATAAAAAAAAAAACAATATGAAAGCAAAAAATGAAAAATGTTAACAGTTCAAATATTAACAGCAATATCTTATTTGTTTTAATAAAAAAAGACCTTACGTTTGATTGTAACACATTATTGCTATGTACTGTACCCATCTTCAAATGTTTGATCTCTGACCTTTGTTCACTGAAAATTCGAAATTTGTGTTTATATGGTCTCTAAAGTGTTTTTAAACCACATAAAATAATTTCTTAACATTTACAGGTAACTGAGTGCACAGGATTAGAACAGTCAATAGATGAACTGAAGAATAAATTAGAAATGGCAGAATTGTATAGTAAGCAAGTATCTAGTCACCAGGATGGAGGACAGGAATCTCTGAAAATTGTAGAAACGCTAAAACAAGAAAAGGAAGAATTACTCACTAAAATCCATGAGGTATACTTGAACACTAAAATCCATGAGGTAGACTCGAACACTAAAATCCATGAGGTATACTTGAACACTAAAATCCATGAGGTATACTGGAACACTAAAATCCATGAGGTATACTTGAACACTAAAATCCATGAGGTATACTCGAACACTAAAATCCATGAGGTATACTCGAACACTATAATCCATGAGGTATACTCGAACACTAAAATCCATGAGTATACTCGAACACTAAAATCCATGAGGTATACTTGAACACTAAAATCCATGAGGTATATTTGAACACTAAAATCAATGAGGTATACTCGAACACTAAAATCCATGAGGTATACTCAAACACTAAAATCAATGAGGTATACTCGAACACTAAAATCCATGAGGTATACTTGAACACTAAAATATCATATTACTTAGACACTGGCATATATGTGTCAATTAATGGATTCAAATTCCTGTTAGAACAAATATTTACTATGGCTTCATTTATTTTTGTGGGTAAAAAAATTTATGGATTGAAGAAAATTGTATTTCTAATGATACTCAATTTTGTAGTTTTGACAATATCTGTGCAGAAAGTTGTAGGAAGTTTTGTATTTGTTTTAATGTGTGGTTCACCAAGAAATCCATGAAAATTATTAAACCTAAAGGGAGGTAATCATGTTTACATCACTCATTACTTTTGTTGCAAGAAAAGGATTTTACATATCAGGTACATTGAGTTGAAATCAGAATTAACCTTTTGTAGAGAATTTATTGATGCTACTTATCATTAATGTGATTTTTGTATGTTGAAGATATCTTGAATTGTATGTTTTAAAGTACAGAATTATGTTGGAGGTGCATGTAAATGAAAAGATTGGAAAAGTTCAAACAAAAGTGTTTTGTCATATGTTGAGATAATATAAATAATTATAAATGGTTTTCAGTATACAGAGGCATTCCAAAGAGTGAGTACAGAGAAAGACCAGCTAAGTGAACAATATCAACAGTACATGGACCAGTTACAGGGACATAATAAAAAGTTAACTGAACAGGTAATTCATCACATGTCAAGTTCTTCAAATAATTTGTCAAGTCCATAATGCTCTGAACAATAGTCATACAAATAAAATTTCATTATATAATGTACTTTAAGTTAGTTATTTATTATTTATTAGAGATTACAAATTGCACATCCTGGAAAATCATTTTTGCGTAAACTTATCCTTGTCTCATGGGTTTTCGTGCTATTAAGAATGCATTGTGACATCACAATTTCCATTGCAAAAGCATGCAAAGTACAAATTCATATGACGTACGAAAACATATGATCTGACCATAAGTAAGGCAGAAACCTTGCAACTTGATTTCAATAAGAATAGACATCTAGACAATTTTAAAACTGCAACAGCAGTTAATTATATTATTAGATAAATGACAAGACCTGCATTTATCAATATATTTACTTTCACACAATACTATAGCTCTTATGTATTTCATAGAGACAACTTTAGTGAAATTTAGGATTTTCAAACAAGAAAGTTGTGTATTCATTGGAACAAAGATTGTTTATTGTCATGTAAGAAGGAGACTACAAGACCGAAAACGGTAGTATGATTCGGTGGACAGTTGTTGCAGTAAACATATGTACAACACATTCTTTTGTGTTAATATCCAAGGTACAAACGTATATATACGGCCAACAGATCAGTAAACAAAAATGAATATTTAATAGCAGTGAAGTTTGCAAGAATGACATGCAATGGGACCAAAACATGACAGCTAAAGCCATTTTTAAGTACAATATCCTCCTGTTACATATGCATATATAAATGTATAGTGAATATTTTGTTACTTTCTATAGATTACATCATTAACAGAGGACAGAGAAAATTTATTAACAAGTCAACATGACCTAGAATCTTCAGTATTAGAATTACAACGAAGATTAGGTATGTAACTATAACTTGATATTGGAAACTAGGGTCATAGAAAGAGAAATGTGTGGCCATTTAGAGCAGTTGTCCTTTTTACTCAAGTTAAAGCTAAGCTTTCTTCATGGATGTGATATATAAACAATAGAATGTGATATGTAATTCAAGTCCTTTATGGTTAACGATTTGCTCTACAGAGGTATGTACCAGACTTTATCCCACAATCAATATTTCTACTATACAAATACAGGTGCACAGATTGCATGAAGCCATATACATAGTAAACATATATAGTCATCTGGTATCCTGCTTCTGTTTTAAAGACTCGGGACAACTAAGAGGTTGACAAAAAATGTATAGACACCTGTATATAGATAAAGACTGTAAATAGACCTCTATGAGTCTGTTGGTTTATTTTATTATTTGGGTGCTATTTCATTGATGTATACCCCACATCTCCTTTTATTCAAAGCTACCAGCAAAGAACATTAAAATACACATGAACTTATTTTGTGGATCACAAGAATTTTTATTGATTTATAGTCAAATGTAAACGAGACACATAATGCAAGATATAGATGTGTATTTTTACAGAAGATGTGGATAGCAACAATACCAGTGCCAATAATGATTTGATTCTACAGAAAGATAATGAAATGCATCAATTAAAAGAACAACATGATGACTTTATACAGAAGTATGAAGCACAGATGAGAGATAATGTCCAGCTTAGCAGGTAAATACAACACTTGATTAAAGAAAGGTGCTTTTATTTTGTTATTGCACTCTCCAAATACATTTGTTTATTAAAGAACTATTATGTTTTAAGGTTGTATTTGGAGTACGTACAGTTTTTATGCTAAACATTTATGAGGAAATTTTTTGTTCAATTGCAAAGGTTTATGGGTCAAATAAGCCTAAATGTTCATATGATTTGGGTTATTTTTTAGCTAAAGAAAAGCCTGACTAATCTTCCTTATTAACTAGACAAATCTTCCTTATGAACTATCAGTTAAATTGTTTCATTACACATTTACATTTACTGAAAGCTTTTTATTCTAAAGCTATAAAAAAGCAGGATTGATCATCTGATAAATTTACATGTTCAAATTAGCTCCGTAATGTACCTTTTCCTTTTATGAAAACAACCATCATTTGCCAAAAAAATAGCATAAAAGAACATAGCTTTACATTGCTTATGATATCTGTTAAAGATGAAAGTTGTCAGTCTGAAATATGTTTTGAAATCACCATTCCCTCTCTTAAAAAAATACATGTAATTTTTTCGTCAAAAATTCTAAAAGATTGGGAAATTATCTGTATTATAATTAATTACAGACTTTTAGAAGAAAAAGAAGACAAGATTACACAGTTAGAAGACAGGATGTCAGAAGTCAACAGAGAAGATGGGGACAAAGCTCATCTACTGGAGAGTATACAGAGTAACAAAACAGCTCTTAGTCGAGCACTTACTCAAAATAAAGAACTTAAACATCAACTGGCAGAGCTACAGAATGGTTTTGTTAAAATGGTGAATATTAGATATTAGAAATTATATATTAACAATGTTTTATCATATTTTTTGGGGCAATCTTTTATCTTTATTTAGGATTAGAGTAGGTTATTTTTTAACTGGATTTTCGAAAGAAAAATCGGTTATTGTTTTGGGGGTGTACGGCAGGCAGGCGGGCGGCTGTCAAACAGTGTGTTCATTAACATGAAAACGCTTTGACGAAATTTTTTCAAATTTAGATATGTTGTTTACTGTGACTACTGATATGATATGATACTCATATTGAGACTTTAATATATAGCTTTTATGATAACAATATACCAGAAGAAATGTCAACCTGCTTGGACAAATCAGTAATGTATGATATAATTCAAGACTTACAGGAGTAAAGCGGGTGGTGACTATATTGCATTCCCTGCATGTGACCATTCTAGTAACGTGATCACTTTTCTGATCTGTCCGACACCTACTTTCATTTTCAAATACTTTAAATTAATAGTGGGGATATGCTTAGCTCATTAATGAGTGTAACTTCTTGTTTGTTCATAATTTCCATAAAAATTGCAAACTAAAGCAGATACAAAAAGTGTTATAATCATCATTATAATTATACTTTAAATGATAATCTAGTAAATAAAGCCATTTTCAGTGCTTGAGTATATTATGTTGTAAACATACAGACAAAAAATTCTTCAAATTTAACAAAAATGTTGCCCTTAGGTATTCGAGTACAAAAAAAGATAGTGATAATTTCTAATTTTGCAGTGAACAAGTTGAAATTAAAAAAAAAACAAAAAAACAACCAGAGCAAATAGCATGAATAGTAAAAATGAGGATTGAAATAAATTATAGACTTACTTTTACAGAGTAATGAGAACATGGAATTGATGACCCGGATACAGTCTGAACAACATAGCTCCAAAGAATTGTTTTGTAAACTTACCCAACAAGAAGATGAACTCCGAGTTTTGAGAGATGCTGTAAGATTTTTAGATGTTTATATTTATACATGAACCTTTTAGTAGACTTTAGATAGTATTAAGATAATACTCACACTCTAGGAGTGGACAGTGGCGGCTATATTGCATTCCCCTTGTCCCTTCGTCTGTTCATCTAATAATCCAACAAATATTTGTTACGCTATTGTCAGGTACTATTGAACAGAATGACATCATATTTGGTCAGCATCTTAACAGCCACAAGTTTTAAAGTGTAAGCACTTTTCAGATTTGTCAGACACCTACTTCCATGTTTACTGATACTTTGAATTATTCGATACATGTTCAAATTAGCTCCGTAATGTACCTTTTCCTTTTATGAAAACAACCATCATTTGCCAAAAAATAGCATAAAAGAACATAGCTTTACATTGCTTATGATATCTGTTAAAGTTGTCAGTCTGAAATATGTTTTGAAATCACAAGTTTCCTCTCTTAAAAAAATATATGTAATTTTTTACAGAAGGGCCAAGTGAGCTTTTCTCATCACTTGGCGTCTGTCGTCCGTCGTCGTCGTTAGCTTTTTACAAACATCTTCTCCTGTGAAACCACTGGGCCAAATTTAACCAAACTTGGCCACAATCATCATTTGGGTATCTAGTTTAAAAAATGTGTCCGATGACCCCGCCAATTAACCAAGATGGCCGCCATGGCAAAAAATAGAACATAGGGGTAAAATGTAGATTTTGGCTTATATCTCTGAAACCAAAGCATTTAGAGTAAATCTGACATAGGGTAAAACTGATTATCAGGTCAAGATCTATCTGCCCTGAAATTTTCAAACAAATCTGACAACCTGTTGTTGGGTTGCTGCTCCTGAATTGGTAATTTTAAGGAAATTTTGCAGTTTTTGGTTATTATCTTGAATATTATTATAGATAGAGATAAACTGTAAACAGCAACAATGTTCAGCAAAGTAAGATCTACAAATAAGTTGACATGACCAAAATTGTCAGTCGACCCCTTTAGGAGTTATTGCCCTCAATAGTCAATTTTTAACAATTTTTCGTAAATTTTTGTAATCCTTTACAAAAATCTTCTTCTCTGAAACTACTGAGAGAAATTTAACCATACTTGGCCATAATCATTATTAGGTTATCTAGTTTAAAAAATTTGTCCGATGACCCCGCCTTTCAACCATCATGGCCGACTTGGTCAAAAATAGAACATAGGGGTAAAATGCTGTTTTTGGTTTATATCTCTGAAACTAAAGCATTTAGAGCAAATCTGACAGGTGGCAAAAATGTTCATCAGATTTAGATTTATCTGCCCTGAAATTTTCAGACGAATCCGACAACCCGTTGTTGGGTTGCTGCCCCTGAGTTAGTAATTTTACAAAAATTTTGCAGTTTTTTGTTATTATCTTAGATATCATTATAATATCTAATAATTAATACTATTAATTATGATTTTAACCTTATTTTACATCATTTCGAAAGCATCAGTAAATATAGGTGAGCGACACAGGCTCTTGAGAGCCTCTAGTTATTAATGTATATATTTCAATACATTACATTGTGTAGATAAATGTTGACATTTTATAGATAAGTTACAATCTATATTAGTTTGACAAATGAAAGAAAAAATATTTGGAACTATTAATTATATTTGATTATAATTTGAAAATATATATACACTGTATCACATCATATCTAATTTTAGAGAACTATTAAACATATCTAATGTTTTTTTCACTCATATAATCAGTTTTCCACACTGTTTTTAGTCATGCTTGAAGATATTGACATGATATTTACTTTTTGTTTACACCATGACAAGTTATAGAACAAGTTAGCATTTTGTTCCAGTAAAACGAATTTTTACCCGGTAGGGGACTATGTATTGCCATGCAATACTCTCAGAATGCTTGTTTTAATTGGATTTTAATTTATGATTTAACATGTAGATCACTCTCCTTATTTTTCATTACCAGTTATCTGTGAAACAGTCGAAGTTAACAGATTTAGAACAATCTACCCACGAGGCAAAGAAGGAAATGTACCAACAAGAACAATTACATGATAGACTAAGACATTATGAAGCTCAAGCTCAATTGGTGGAAAGTCTTGGCAGAGAATTACATAATTCACAGGTATTCAAGGAACATTTGCATCAAGTCAAATCATGGATCTGTGGTAGTGCCACAAGGTCCCTATGTAGGCTAATCTTAACAAAACTGTTGTGGTTACTACAAAATTTTAACGAGCAGGTATTAAATACGATGAAAATTAGCTACAAAGTTCTTTTGAGTCAAACAATGGCAGAAACTACTCTATTGCTATTATTAACACACACAGGATGCCAAATTATTTCATACTCATAGTTTCAGAAAAACTGCAGATATCAAAATAATTTCTTTAGGGCAATGTATTCTTAATTTGGCGGTATTTCAGATTTTTATGAAATTTTGTATTCATTCAAACATGTTGAAATGCATCTGAATCTTAACAATGTTTCCTTTTAGAAATGGGTCACTAAAAACAAATTGATTTATAGATCAATAACAAGTGGGTCTATTTTTATATCCCAGGTATAAGAAATATAGGTACACAACAAACAGAACAAAAGTTGTTTATAATCTTTATTTAAAGAGTGAAAACACAATGACATATATTACATCAAACATGTAGTTTCTTATAAGAATTCAATACTGTGCATGTGGCACACAGCTCTTCATCTTTCTTATGGATTTCCTTTAATATCTATATTGTTGATCTGTAATTTTGCATTTTGGATATAAGCATATTCTGCTTAGTTGCATAATTATGTCTGACAAATAGATTATGCAAAAAACCGCAATCGACTGAATATAATAATAATAATGAAATTGATATTTTGTTCAGTAACTGAAATTGTATCCTTTGGTATGCAGGAAAAAGTCATCTATCATGATATTTATACTGCAACTGGTTGTGTTTATTTCCTAAATATAGTAACACAGCTATGTTTTGTGCAATGTCAATTTCATCATGGATCACTTTTTCTACAATCAGGGGTTCATTAAGGGATGAAAATAAGTTTGAAATTTGTGTTACAATTTAAATATCTATCAATGTATTAATTTAAGTTGCAGTATTAAAACAAAATTAGGTCAATGTCAGAAAAATATAAACTTTTTTGTATTCGGCATAAAACTGGAGAATGGATTGGTAAAACCTACCCCTTCCCCAGTTTCTCAGCCTCATACAAAAAAGATTATATTTTCTGACATTGACCTAATATTGTATATTTGTGAAAATAGAGGTAAACCTGAATAAATTTTGAATTCAGCCTTGTGTACTACACAATGAAGTTGTGTTATCCTAAGAATTTATGTTACTTTATTCATTCAGAAATAAAGAATAGTTACTTTTATGTTTAGGATATGGTGGAAGCCTTAAAAACACAGAACAGTGAGTTGCGAACCATGTTAATTAAAGCTACTAGTCATAAAGAGAATGGTAACACAGACTCTGAGGAGGAGAAGAAGAGGGATGATGTGGTAAATACTTAAGTTACAAACTGTAATTTTGACCAAGAAGAATTTGATGTGAAATAAGTTAATGCTTAAAATATGCATCAACAATTTATGTTAATGTCTTATGGCTTTTTATATTAAACTTAAAATTTGTGAAAAGTTTGAAAAATCTATGTTAAAGTCACATAGATTTTATGTAAAATGAAAGATGTGCATTCAAAAGATATTTTCATGTAAAACATCATTTCTTTTGAATTTCATGTAAACCATGCTTGCCTATGTACTTAATATGTAGCAATCATATCAATCGTACAATTTATGAAAAAAGGTTACACATTTTAATTTTGATATTTTACTAACTAAATGTCATATATTATGACATGGATGATAATTCTTCCCATACAGCCTGATCATGAACTTAAATTGACGTTTTATTTACAATGGAACGTAGATCAGATTAGGGAGTGAATTCCCTTTTCAGACTTTTCATAGTGCATCTCATATAATTTATATTTCCCATGACCATGTTTAAAAGTAATGGTAGTTTTTAAAATAACTTGACATTACGCACAAAATGTCAAAAATAAAAATGTGTACAAAAGAAATCCTTGATTTCTGTTGTTTGAATGTACCATCATTGTGTCATTTAGGGCATAATTGGCTTCAAATTGCTTATCTGTATTTATTATTGTCTATTTAGGGCAAATCATGCTGTCATTTAACTCCCCCTACATATTTATTAACTTCGATAATTTTTTTCCTCCACAGATTGATTCCTTATCATCAGCCATTCAACAGTTAGAAATAGAAAGAAACCAACTAGTAGAGAGTCTTAAAGAACAAAGAGAATTGTCAGACAGTCTGTCTATCAAAGTATCAGATTTACAAGAGGAAGTTGTCCAGAAAAGTACATATATGACAAGACATTTTTTTTAAACATTGAATATAGATACTTAATCTTCTATTGATAAATAAATATCTTATACATTTTTGAACTATTTGCAGACATATACTTAAAAAGGCAATAAAATGTTATTGGCTTTTGAGTTTTTATTTTAGCGTATCTGCTTGGATAAAAGTCGTCTTTAAACTGTAAACTTTAAATAAAAAATCTCCAATATTCAGGAATTAGAGATATTGGGATGGACGAACTCACATGTAGTCATATTATTACTGTTTCTGAAATGCCATATTTTGTATTTTCAGGTGCATTCCAGTCAGAAGACAATAATATAGTAAGCAGAGTAGAGTATGAGCAGTTAAAACAAGCCATGGAATTAATACAGGTATATTTGATATTAATGATTACTAAAATAATAAACTTATATAGAGAGTATAAGGAATAAAAAATCCAACTGGACAGTACAAGATCAGGACAACTGAAAATAACTCTAAGTGCAAAAACTATATCACCAAAACTAAATTGTATTAATGCTCATAAAGCCCTGGAATGGATCTGGTGCAATGGAAAGTTTAGTATATCCTGATCGGTATGCAGCAACCATTATCTTGCTCAGTAATCTAAAGTCTTCTTTAGTGTCGGAGTAAAAAAAAAACTATACAGTAATTGAAAAATGGAACACCGCATAGAAGCAAACCATTATTTTGGTTTTTTACTTAAACTGAGAATGAAGTTTTGATACAGCTACCTATAATGGAATTTATTAATGCTACCCCCAAGTATCATTCATTTTAAATAAATCAGACTTGAAAACTTGTGGAGTTGTTTACCGATAATTTTTGTATGTCTAATCTGTTACATATCTTTCTTGTTAGATTTTTATGTTGCAGGAATATAAAGTCCATTTAGTATAGGGACAGTCTTATTTATAATTATTGTTGATTCTACTTACAGAATAAGTATATGAAAGTGATGAGAGATAAGGCTGAGTTATCAGACAAGGCTGATGAGCTGGAACATACAGTGTTACAGCTGCAAGGAGAATCTGAAACTATAGGTAAGATACAGGGATACAGTTTCAGGGAGAATCTGAAACTAAACCAAAGATACAGGGATACAATTTCAGGGAGAATCTGAAACTAAACCAAAGATGCAGGGATATAGTTACAGGGAGAATCAGACAGTAAAGTTAGGAATAAAATTGCTTATATCCTTATATCTAGAAAAAAAGTTTTAAGAACTGTACACATAAAATTCAGAAATGTATCAGTTAGGCTGCATGAACAAAAATAATTGTTCTTTAGGTTTTTCAAATGTAAAGAGAGGTGGTGAGAGAAATTATAAAAAAACAAATCTCAATGAATCTCTCGGAGTTAAAACAAAATGAAATGAAATACTTTTGTTTTGCTGAAACCAACAGTTGTTTGATTATTCCAAAACAAAACTGACAAAGTGCTCAATATTTTAATTGTCATTGTTCAATTTAAAATTTATTTACATGTATTTATATCTGTCAGGTGAATACATCTCCTTATATCACCACCAGAGGGCACTATTGCAGCAGAGAGAATTACAGAAAAACGATTATATTTCACATTTAGCCAAAGACAGAGAAGAGATGTCGGTAAGTTTGATGTTTAATAAAAAGTTAGATCTGTAGCAAGACTGGAAAAATAAACAGTACTTTCATTGAGTGAATTTATAAAGAACAGTTGAATGATAAAAATTGATTTAGGAAAGTAAAAAAAAAATTATTAAGTGCACAATGCAATTTTAAGTCTAATGACCCAGATAAACAATGGGCTTAACAGTATAATTTGCATATCCTAATTTATGATCCAATTTTGATTTTTAAGGATTTCCAATATTTGGTTTGAGTTCAATTGACAAAAAATAGATTTTGAAATACTTGTCTCATGCTACTAATTAAATTTGACATCTTTTAATTTTTCTGTATTATAAGAGCTTCAATTTTATACAGAAAAGGGGGATGGGAGGGTACACCCACTTGGGTCATCCATCTGTGTACACTTTTGAAGCTACTACTCCATTCCAATGCAACTGACAGAAAATGTTTGTACTTTGTGGCATTGTTCAGCTATTTTGTTTTCTTTGAAAAGAGCAGGGGCTTTCCAAAAAATGAACTTCACCTACACATAATAATTGAGACAACCAGGAAGCTTATGAATTTGTTAGCTCAGCAGTTACTTTACAACTAGAATTTCTAAAATACCAAGAGAATCTTTTGAGTTGCACTGTTACTGTAATTTTATGAAATAAACCTATGTTGTGCTGTTATCTTATTTAGTGAGTTTTAACCTTTTCTATCATTATCCAGTTAAAACTGGGAGAACTACAGACACTGATGATGCAGTTACTAGGAGAGAAAAATATGTTACATAACTACCATGAAGAATCGTCAATAACTTCACCTGATGTCAGTATACAGCCTCATCTTAGCCAGGAACCTATGGTTAACGGTACAGGTATGTTAATGACTGGAACACTTATGTAATTTAACATTTTAGATATTTTAATAAATAAATAATCTGTATTAAAGTTATTATTAGGGATTCTAATGTTAAAGTCCAAAAAGTACTGCTGATCTATTTGAAGTAGTAATATGTTTGTTTTTTTGCATTTTTTGTAATATAGTAGATATTAGTGAGAATAACTTGAATTTGTATTTATCTGCAAATCTAAAAAAAAAAAACGGTTCTTACAAATGCATATTATTATAAACATTTCATAGAGTCAATATCATAACAAACTATCTAACAATCAGATTTACATAATGCAACATTTATGAGTTTTGCTAAGATCAAAATAAAAGGAAGGTTCCAGAATTAAAGAATAATTATCATATAAAACAAAACTTTGTTAAGAAGGTTTTCTAAGGTGTGATGTTCATTAGGTACTGTAGTTCATTTACTTTCGTGGATACCAATTTTGGTTGATTAGAAAAAAATGTATTTTCGTGGATTTCTGATTTTGTTGTTTTGCCAAATTTGATACACAAGTTTTTAGAAAATGTGTACTCTTCTGAACATTTGAATTCTTGGTGAACTTATACCGATGAAATCCACGAAAATTGGTATCCCAAGAATAATGATGAATCCACAGTATTTTATATCATGATTAAGAGAAACGATGATGATGGGAGTTTTTAACGACCTTGACTGGCTATACAGCCCTCGCACGGTCGGTAAGAGAAACTATATAGTATATCAGTTTGTCATATATTATTTTCATACTATCAACCTCTTTCTGTTCAAAGTTGATTTTTTTCCAGATTGGCCAGATTATACGAGTTCTGAAGAAGATTCAGATAGTGAAGTGGAAACAATTGTGGGTGGACAGGAAGGTACAACAGACACTTTAGGGGAGGTAACTCCTCAGGACCATATGAACCACAACCACCATCAACATCATCATGAGCATCATAATCACGAACATCATCATCATCTGACAAAAGACCAACGAACTGTTGAAAAATCAAAATCTAGTGAAAACACAGAAGGCACTGCCACAAAAATAATGAACCTGTTATCAGAAATAAGTCATAACAACTATACTGATCGAACTGTAGATCATAACTTTTTACCTTGTAAATATTGTAAGGGGAAGGTTTATAATGTATGAGGTCACAAATATTGTAGATTTTAACCAATAGAATTCATTTAATGATGATCAGAGAGTTGTTGGCATAGGTCAGTATTGACAGACCAAGCTACCTCAGTTGTCAGCGAATATGTCCACTCTGGCAATGGATATCAAAAAATTTGAGTGTGAGGGTTGCTTACTTTGGTTATATACCTAGTGAATTAAAGGTGGCTGTGAATTTGCTTTCATCTGTTGATACCAGTTTTCATGGTTTGCCAGAAAAGCTTTGGTTCATGGGCTTTTAAATTCATGCACATTCCAGGCATATCATGTAGACAGATCATTGGCAAGATGATTATTTTATTCAATGTTTCTTATGAAACATGAAATCTTTCATGAATAAAAGTAGTTCACAGTATATTCTAAAGTTAGGGACCAATGCTATCTACATATTAAAAGAAAGATACACTATGAGTATTTGAAAATGAATGACATATGAACGCATGAGTGTACAACAACATAGATTTGTAATCTTTTGGATGGGGATGGAGAGGATTCTAGAACAATAATTATTGCCTTACTACATTATTAAAGTCATCAATAACAAAACCTTGCATCAGATGAGTGCAATAACATGTTAGAATAATTATTTACTTCAACACATTAAATGATTTTAAGTAATCCAGTTGTAAAGTTAGTTGATTATGTTTTGAATCCACCTTTGCTTCAGTATTTTCACAAAAATATTCATGTTCATCTGAGAGTTCTGCTTATTTGTAAACGTTGAAAATAATTGTGCAGATCAAATATTCTTTGTATTCAAGTGCCTATAAGCCCTAGGCTGTCAACATTGATAACAGGTTTATTTGTTTGTTTATAATGGAACAATTAACATGTTTCATTTTTTGATTGCATGGTTTAAAGTCCATCATTTGAAGGGTTTGTTTGTTTACCCGTTACATCAGTTCCAAATTATATAAACATAATTTAGAAAGCCTTAGAAAGGATTACTGTTCATCCGTTGCTAGCATTGGTGCTTCTAAGTCCACTCAATGTTCATTTCAATATCATTTTTATGTACTTTGATTCATCTGACACTGGTGGAGGTATCAGTGATATTTTTATCCACTGGGTGAGTATTATAGACCCAGCTGTTAAGATGGTGAACTGAAAAATGATGGGAAACTGGATTGAATTATTATATCCAGAAATTGATTATCCCATTCCTTGCCATTTGTTTGTTCTTTTGAAAAAGTGGTTTGCTTTTTCAATTTAATTTCTATATAGAAACTATCCTGTAGCAAACAAAAATGTGTATGCCCAACTTATGCCTGAGTATTTAGGTTTTCAGCATAATCTGTGATATTTGTTTATCTATCTATATAACAAAACATCACAAATATAAAAGTGTATGTTTCTTAACGTACAGTTACAGGGAGTGCTCAATGTAAAGATATTTTTAAATATAAAGTCAAATATAATTCCTTACATCATCAAGTTTCCTTTTATAATAAGGCTGTATAAATTTAACCTCTTCTATTTTTAAAGCGAGGTCAAATCTTGAGTTTTTATTTTAAGATGTGTCTTGTAAAAAAGTTTTCTAGACTTTCACCAATACAATAGCTTTTTAGTCAAAATCATCCGTTTCATCAAACTGCTTACAGAATCATTAAATACAGTCAGGGTAACTTTCTTGAAACGGTCACATTTAAGGTAGAATATCTATCATGGTCATCCCCAGGAGCTTAAACAATATTCATTGGTCTCCTGTTAAATGAAGGGGTATGTTAATGGACAAGTTTTACCAGTATATGATTTTTCAAGAAACTATTTTACCTTTACATGATAGTATCCATAGTGTTAAAAGTAGTCAGTTAATTTTCACTTGCTATGGCTAATATGCACTAAATTTGAAGAAGAAAAATATTTTTACTAATAAAAGCAAGAAGTTGCATTCTTTAAGTCTGAAACTGGTACTTGAATATTTATTCCTCTTCTTAAAGTCATTTACAAAATTAATAAAGATATATTTTTGAAACACTTCAATAAGAGAACTTTAACTTTTTCCCCGGAAGATTAAAAACTGCTGGTCCAGTTACTCCTCAATAGTATTGTTCACAGTAGGTACTTATATTTACTGATTGAAAAAAGACTTGCATGTTTAAATATCTTAGATTATGGTACTTGCATGAAAAAATGTATGCATAAAACAGACTTCCAAATATATATATTATATATTAAATGAAAGCAGAATTTTTAATATAAGGTGTTTCTCTGTTATATTGATATTGAAAAAAAAATTTGATTTCATTGTTCTTGGTTATTGAACAACCTCCTTGTAAAGAATTGTATTTTTCTTATAGCTGGTCTATTGTTATAGCAGGAAACTGTATATCTTGTTTATATCAAATGCATTTAGGAAATAGATATGTCAGTGTGGATGTGTCTGAATCTTGTTTGTTATTTATAAGGTAAGGGAGTATGGGTGAGATCTACACAAGAAGATGCATTTACAAATATATACAAATATTAATGGCTGAAAATGTGTCTTATAGATTTAGCCAACTATATCAACAAATTATCAATTACATAGTTTAACAATCGTCATATTTATCACATCATATACAAATGCAGAACTCTTTGTGTAGTTACGTTATTGTGTTAATAAAAACAGTCAATAAACCATGATTGCAGTGTGATTTATAATTGGTTGTGATGGGTTGCTGTTACTTCTAAATCACATCATTCATAGATTGTATAACAATGTAAAAATAGACGGCCTAGTTATACATAACAGTCATCTACATCATTTTCATTTTCGAGTAACATCTTTCATATTATGTCAATTCAAAGGGAGGCTTGCTTTATTTCTTAATTCTTTGATTTTGAGAAGAAGAAATGTTTGTTTTATTTTAAAAGATATTCATATTATGTTTGACTGCAATGGTGAATATGTTAACGTTTGACCTTGAAAAATTGTCAAGACTAGGGCATCTAAAAAAAAAAAACACTGGTCTTTGAACTTTTAAAAACATGATTCACTTTTTTTAAGAAAACTAAACCTCTATTTAATATTTTGGGAAGACAAAATAATGGAGTTAGCAATTTTTAAAACATATATTTCATTCTTGAATATCAAGTTGAAGGAATAAGTGATGAATATTTTTCAAATTCGCTGTTTTCAGAGTTTCCAAATGATGTTATTATGAATAGCCTCTCTTCAATGATATAAATTTGAATTTTATGCAGAGTTGTTTAATAATTGAAACAATCTTTAGGTATTAAATTCAATATATCTTGAGTGAACAGTGAAATTAGGCCTTATATTCAGTCAAGTTCAACATGAGCAAGTTTGTCAGTGCCTAACAATAGAATAGCAATTAATAAAAATAAAATGGATTTACTTCCTGGTAAGAAAATTGATAAACTTACAAATGGTTTATACTACGACATGATGCACTTTTTTTTACCAGACAATGAAGTTACTGTGTGATTTGGGAAATGAGAAAACAGAAAATTATAATTTATTTAAAAATGGTGAACATAAGAGAATAGAGTTCAGCTAGAAAGTTGTTTGGAATTTTACTACCAAACAGTAAATCTAAAAATAATAACTTTAAGGGTATGTCATTTAGGCTTCATACATGTCAAAAAGAAACATTGTTTTTCTTGCAAATTTGCAATATATTTTTAATATATACCCAGATGACAAGAACAACTCATTAAATTATTTCACCCTGTTATCCTCTTACAGTGGCTAGAGAGGGTGACTCAACACTTTTTTTCTGTAAAAAAATCTTCATAATCTATCAGATGCTTTATAAAATCAAATTTCAATTTGCAAGGAAAAATGTTCAATGGATTTCTTTCCAAATCCAGCATACATATGCATGGATGGGAATATACATTTATAGTCATTTTTGTATGTCTTGTTTAACTTAAAAGATATATGACATTTTATGTTTTCTCATTTGCCAATTCCCAATATATTTCAATAGAGTATTTACAGTAGTATGGTGCTCAAATAAATACACAGAGCAGGATGGTACACTTGTTAGCCTTGTAAGGGGATTATTTGTTAAAACATTTCATTGTTATGTATAAGTATATATTTTCATTATACTATGCATTTTATTTATTTATAATAAAGAGAAACTAATATCGTTTACATTATTTAAGTTATTTACACAGCATTTAGAATAGCATAGTATTTGTAGGCCCATATCCAGTTAGAGTAGGACAAATGTAAATAGAGACTAGCCTTTGTTTGCTGCAGTTTATCTTGCCTGGGTAGTGAGGAGTAAATTATTTATTTATTCAGAAATGTCAAATTGGAATGAGCCATGTTGTTCAAATGAAGGCTAAAATACTGTAAATTCTAAAAATATTTTAATGTAATGATTTTGTTAAAGCAAAAATGCTATGGGATAAATATGCAACTAATTAGAATTAACTAGCATTTTTGTGTGTAGCATTTCCTTATATCACAATTTGTCCATAGATCAACAATGAACAATATCATTTCTGAACTTAATTATTTATATTGAGAGCATTTGCCTTGAGCCAAATCACTAGAAACAGTGTCTAAAAAAATAAGTTGTGGTATGATTGCCCTTAAGACAACTATCCGCCAGAGACCAAAGGACCAGGATGTAAATCGGATATTCTCTTTCACAAACCCTATTAGGTATACCGTTTTTAAGGGGGTGTTTCTGTTGGTGTTAAAACAGTTCTCATGAAGTTTGTTTTAGTAATCAACATTCATGTTTGCTTCATGTAACAATTGTTGCCCTAATCTATAAGAATTTTTTTTACAGTTTAATTTTTATTGAGGTATTATTTCCATAAAATGATAGTAAATTGATATATATGTTTTTTGTAAGATATGCATAGTAGTTTGAACACAAATTCTTACATGGGAGGTGTAACTTGATGAAAAAAATACACATTTTATTATCATTATTGGTACAATATATTTGGTAGTTCATGCATGGACATGAAAAAATTAACAGCTGGAAGAATACTAATTGGACAAAAAAAAACTGAAAATAAATAACAGAATTATTATATTCATTTGGCAAAAAAGATTCTGTATACTTGTACTGCAATTGCTTGAATAACTTTAAAACAGCTTACTGTTACTTGACTGTAAGTGTTGCTCTCCAGCTATTGCAGTTTATTCAAAATTCTGACCAAAATGCAATTTGTTTTATCAATCTTAACTGTTCAACTGATCAGAAATTTTAACAAACTGCTGTAGAAAACTACAGTCCAGTGGTGAAAGTGAAACATGATGAAATAAAGCATACTTACAATCCTATTAGACTTGAATTCCACTTCATTGAAATTTTGAAAATGATAAGAATTTCTATACTTTCTTTTATTGTAATTGTCATAAGAAAGGTGATAGTAAGTAATTTTTGAGGTGGAGAGCAACACTTACAGTCAAGTCACAGTAAGATGTCTCGAGCATGAAACTCAATACCTATATTTAAAAACCTATAACATTCAATCTAACATTAAAATAACTCAATATATTTCAACAAAAACTGTTATACATGTTCAAAATTTGTTCAATTTTGATAAATAGATATAAACAGTATAATACAGTCAATTTTGACCTCTGCCATGACATTTAATCATCTGTTATTTTTCTATTGACACACTGATCTTTTTCAGGAATGAGAAAATTCTGATTTGTTAAGCAAATTTAGTCAAAGTTCTTTGTCTAGTTCACTTGACCAGAAGACAGTTTTTGACATGACAGATTTACATGAAAGAAGTTGTTTTGGAATAGTTGAGCAAACCAACAATGATGAAAGATATAATTACTTGATTTTTAGCTCACCTGGCCCACAGAGCCAAGTGAGATATTCTCATCAGTTGGCGCCAGTCATCTAACCTTCGTCATCATTTGTTAACTTTTGCAAAAATCTTCCCTGAAACTACTGGGCTAATTGGAACCAAAGTTGGCCACAATCATCATTGGGGTATCTTGTTTAAAAACGTTTTAGATGATCCTGCCTCTATACCAACATGGCTGACATGGCTCAAAATAGAACATAGGGTAAAATACAGCTTTTGTCTATTATCTTGAAAACCACTTTAGAGAAAAATCTGACAGTGGCAAAAATGTTGAGATCTACCATATTGGAGAGTGGTTTTTGTTGAAGATGCACTTATATCCCTGTGCATGACACAGACTCTAAATATAGAGCCTATTATTTTATGCAGGCTGGTATCAGATTGAAATTAAACAACAGAAATGAACCTCCTTAATTTTATTATTAAAAGAGCGTAATCATGACCAAGTTGGTATATTCTGTCAATATATATGTTCCTGGTATATTTGAATTGTTTACATCTGTTTACATCTGTTTCTATGGGCTTTAAAAGTATAATGTAGGCACATGGTTTAGGATTTTTTATGCCCCCGCCGAAGCGGAGGGGTCATTAAGTTTTACCCTTATCTGTCTGTCTGGACGTCCATACATCCCAAAATTGGTTTCTGTTCTCTAACTTAAGTTTGCCTCAACCAAATGTTATCAAACTTATACAAAATGCTTATTACCACAAAACACAGATCAAGTTTGAATTTTGGTGGTGTCACTTTAACCGTTCTAGAGTTATGCCCCTTTATAAATGGAAAAATTGCAAAATTTTTCATTTCCGTTCTCTAACTTAAGTTTGCCTCAACCAAATGTTATGAAACTTATACACAATACACAGATCAAGTTTGAATTTTTCATTTTTTTCTTCTAAAAATATCGATGTCATTCTTCAAGTAATTTTTAAAATTGGAGTTATCTTCCTTTGTCCATGATTATAGTTGAATCAACTACAATCTATGCTTTATACAATGCAATGTTTAATTTTGCCTTCCACTGATAAAACACAGATCAAGTTGAATTTGGGTAGTGTCACTTTAACCATTATTGGGTTACATCCCTTTATAAATCGAAAAATTGCAAAATTTTTAGTTTCCGTTCTGTAACTTAATTAAGTTTGCCCCAACCAAACACGAATCCTATACACAATACTTATTACCACAAAACTAAGATCAGTACAAATTTGGGTAGCGTCACTTTTATTGTTCTTGAGTTATGTCCCTTTATAATGTTGTATGCAAGCGGGGGCATCATCTGTGTCCATGGGGACACATTCTCCATTTATTTGCATCTAGTATACGTTTTTATAATCAAATTATAGTATGGAGCTTCGAGATTTTAAACTTTAAACTAAAGACAAATTTTCAAAAAAGAGTAGATTATGGTAGGTGCAAATACAGTTGGATCTGCATAAGCATAAATTCCACAGAAGATAAAAAGATAAAAGATTGATATAATAACATTCAAAATTCACAGTACCAAAAAAATAAAATATATTGGTAAAGTGAAATACCTTTCTAATGAGTCATACCAGAAGTCCATTACTAGTAAGAAGTCATACCAGAAGTCCATTACTAGTAAGAAATCCATTACTAGTACATTGAAGACCCATTGGTGGCCTTCTGCTCTATGGTCGGGTTGTTGTCTCTTTGACAAATTCCCCATTTCCATTCTCAATTTTATTCTGGTCATACCAACAGAGTAGGTGTGTTTGAATAACAACAAAAAAGCTTCGTGATACAACAAATATTAAAACTTTAGAAGTATTTTTAAAATATACCTTAAGGTTTGATGTTTGTTATAACACAAAGCTTTTTTTTTTGTCTCCCCTGCGACGAAATGTGCGGAAAACGAGACACAGGGGTTGCTTTTCAGGCGACAGTGACTGCTGGGGCGGTGGCGTCAACAATTGTTAAGTTTTCTGCTTAAGTTAGTGATAGGAACTACTTGTGATAGATCATTTATATGTAATGTAAAATTGTATTACTATCAGTATATATATATAAGTTTGACGACTATTTCGAGGCCCTGCCCCGTAGGTCATGGTCCAGCAACTTTGAATAAACTAGCAATTTCCAATGTTAAGTTTTCTGCTCAAGTTAGTTTGATAGGAACTACTTGTGATAGGTCATTAATATTTAATATGAAGTTGCATTACTATCAGTACGTATCAGTTAGACGACTGTTTTGAGGCCCTGCCCCCCCTAAGTCATGGTTCAGTGACTTTAAATTGATAAGCAATTTTCAATGTTAAGTTTTCTGCTTAAGTTAGTTTGATAGGATATACTTGTGATAGATCAGTGGAATTTTGTATGAAGTGGCATTACTATCAGTACATATCAATGTGATGACTATTCGAGTCCCTGTCCCCTAGGTCATGGTCCAGTGACTTTGAATTAATTAGCAATCTTCAATGTTAACTTTTCTGCTTTAAGTCAGTTTGTGACAGATCAATGATATTTTGTATAAAGTTGCATTACTATCAGTACATCTCAGTTTGTCGACCATTTTTATGCCCTGCCCACAAGATCATGGTCGAGCGACTTTGAATTAATAAGCAATGTTGATGTCTATCAGATTGTCTTTTTCTGATTTTATGTGGACAGGCGAGACATATCTCTGTGTCAACAGTTCATTTAAATTTTCGTTCACCTATTTTCAGTCTAATTTCTAAATTTACCAGATGTTGAAACTTTTAATTTTTCAGTGATCCGTTTCCAGTAACATTCTTGATCTGAGACTACTATAACACTAGATAAGTCTCGGTATCGATGTATGGTACCGCTTTTTAGCTCTTCTTGACCCGTTTAAGATCATATAAGCTGTTGCAATCCTTCCGTCATCACCATTTTAAAAGATCTTCGACGAAACTACTGAATCTATTTAAACCAAACTCTTTGGGTGTATAGATATTATAAAATTAGTAATTGTGATTATCCATAAATTAAGCTCAGAAGTAGCGACACGTTTAAATTATATTGAAGATTTAGTTAGTTTATTAATTTATCCCAAACGAAATTTATCTTTCGTTCTTTGTCCTTTGTAATGTCCCCCTTTGTCAGAGAATATAATAAAAACTAACCGGACAGACGTCTATTTGATTTGCCAGATATTTCTATAATAATTATTATATACGTCTTTACAATTCAAATATTTAGTAATCTTGACCATATATTTACACGTTATATAAATGAGGACAGTATACAAAAGATACATCATCGGTTATGATAAGTGTAACATACATGTAGTTAAAAAGATTTTAAAACTATATTTTACGTGAATTTTGACAATGGAAGTAAAAATTGTTAAAGTGTTGATACTGTTTGGATTGTTGTTAATTTCATTTGTCCTAGGATTTATACCTATCAAATGGATTTGGCATTTTAAAGAGAAAACGAAAGAAAAATCCAAAACTTTTCATCTTGTGATAAGTATCCTGAGCTGTTTTGCTGCTGGCGTTTTCCTTGCTACGTGTTTATTACATTTACTTGTTGAGACACGCTTGATCCTGGAAGATCAGTTAAAGGACGTAGAGATATTTTCAGAGTACCCAGTATCAGAGTTTATAATGGTGATTGGTTTATTGTGCATGTTAGCCACGGAACAGCTGGTCATGACGTACCAAGAGTATATAGAAAACACAGAGGAAACCGAAGATAGTCATCTTACTCTTATAAACGAATCTTCTTTTGAAATGACCGAGCGGAACGAAAACGATGCAAACAGACTTTCTTCATCAGAAGAACAAAGAACCCGTATGAATATGTCTGAATCTTCCATTGAAGGTTTAAAACAATACAATACAACAATGAGAAGACCGAGCGCAGTTCAGAATAAGATATCACCGGCTGAAATGCATGCATCACAGACCGACAATTCTGTGTTCAGATCAATTTTGCTGATTTTAGCTTTATCTCTGCATTCAGTTTTTGAAGGACTTGCCGTAGGACTGCAGACAGAGACATCGTCTATTCTCAAGATTTTTACCGGTCTTGTTATCCACAAAGGAGTCATATCTTTTAGCCTAGGACTCGCACTATCTCAGAGTTCTCTGTCGTACTGTGCATCGTTGAGATCACTGTTGATCTTTTCTGCGGCTTCTCCAATCGGAGTTGCTATCGGGTTGATCGTAGATGGATTGGGAGTTGGATCGTCACCTTCATTAGCAATAGGAATTTTGGAGGGACTGGCTTGCGGCACTTTCCTGTATGTTACGTTTTTCGAAATACTTCAACATGAATTTAGTAATTGAGAAAAACGAATGATAAAAGTATTGTTTTTGTTTGTGGGGTTTATGTGTATGTCTGCGCTGTTTATAATTCATAACTGAATTATTGTTATTCTTAAGACTCGCTCTATTCTTGACTTAAATACAAAAAAAAATATGCCAGTGTATCGCCACTTTCACCCTTTAATTTTGCGGTTATTGTTTTTTTTTTGTCGAGCCTTCGACTTCTGTCTCAGAAAGCTCGACATAGGGATAGTGATCCGGTGGCGGCGGCGGCGGCGTTAACTAACTTCTTAAAAGCTTAATATTTCAGAAGGTAGAAGACCTGGATGCTTCATACTTTGTATATAGATGCCTTATGATATGAAGTTTCCGTCTGTCATATGTCCACTGTCCTTGACCTCATTTTCATGGTTCAGTGACTACTTGAAAAAAAAGTCAAGATTTTTTGTAATGTTAATTTCTGTCTTATTATGAGTAATAGGATAAATATATTTGGTATGTGCGTACCTTCCAAGGTCCTCATGCATGTCAGACTGTTTTCACCTGACCTCGGCCTCATTTCATGGATCAGTGAACAATGTTAAGTTTTCGTGGTCAAGTCTATATCTCAGATACTATAAGCAATAGGTATACTATATTTGGTGAATGTAATGATTGTAGTAAGGTGTACATGTCCAACTGGCAGGTGTCATCTGACCTTGACCTTATTTTCATGGTTCAGTGGCAAAAGTTAAAGTTTTTTGTGTTTTGGTCTGTTCTTCTTAAACTTTAAGCAATAGGTCAACTATATTGGGTGTACGGAATGATTGTAAGGTGTATATGTCTGTCTGGCAGGTAACATCTGACCTTCACCTCATTTTCATGGTTCATTGGTCAATGTTCAGTTTTCCTGGTTAACTTTTTTTCTTAGATACTATATAAGCAATAGGTAAACTATATTTGATGCATGGAATTATTTTAAGGTGTACATGTCTGTCTGGCAGGGTTCATCTGACCTTGACCTCATTTTCATGGTTCAGTGGTTAAAGTTAAGTTTTTTTTGTGTTTTGGTCTGTTTTTCTAATACTGTATGCATTAGGTCAACTATGTTTGGTGTATGCAAACATTTTACGGTGTAAATGGCAATCTGGCAGGTTTTATTTGACCTTGACCTCATTTTACGGTTCATTGCTCAATGTTAAGATTTTGTGTTTTGGTCTGTTTTCCCTTAACTATGAGCAATAGGTCAACTATATTTGGTGTATGGAATAATTATATTAAAGGTGTACATGTATTTCCGGCTTGGTTTATCTGACCTTTACCTCATTTTCTTGGATCATAAATGTAAATGTGATACTTGTAGTAACATTTTATATTTAGGACTATCAACATAAAATCAATGGTCAGTATAGTAGGCGAGACATTTCAGCGTGTGCACTCTTGTGTTTTTATCAAATCTATAATTTTCAAATAAGTACTAATAACATTCTACAGTATGGAAAAAATGAAACCAGTTTCCGCTGCCGTTAGAGTGTATACGTGAGGAGCTTAGGGGCTTGTAATAACTTATACTGTGATCAATTAATATTTACCAACAGAAAATAAAGAATGTTTTGTATGTTTGCACAATTGTTTCATTGTTTAAGACTATATGTTGACCTCTTGATGTCTTTTATTTTTGTGTGTTGTTGGTCTGTAGCCTCTTGAATGTATACTACACATATCCTGTGACAAGCCTTATTCAACTAAACAGATACATCTTTCGCCCAGACCACCTGACAGGCACCAAATAAGACAGGGTCTTGTCAAGAACATAAGTTGACCTCTAGTTCTCTATGGTTTTTTTTTTTAGGTGTATATAGATATAGGTATTCTTGTTCGGTTTTCAACAATGGATGAGCACCCAAACCACCTGAACATGTAAGGTTTTCAACAATGGATAAGCACCCAAACCACCTGAACAGGTACGGTTTCCAACAATAGATAAGCACCCAAACAACCTGAACAGGTACGGTTTTCGACAATGGATAAGCACCCAAACCACCTGAACAGGTACGGTTTCCAACAATAGATAAGCACCCAAACCATCTGAACAGGTACGGTTTTCAACAATGGATAAGCACCCAAACCACCTGAACAGGTACGGTTTTCAACAATGGATAAGCACTCAAACCACCGTTAGCAGGCGCTTAGCTGGGCGAGACTTGTCGAGTTGTGGTTGCATTCAACAGTGACGTACACTCTTAAAACATAAATATTAGAAAAGTTCGCTTTAGCATGACGTTGATAGGTAAAAATTACATATGCTCATTCTCTTGTGCGAGCAAAATAAATATATTTATTCTAATTTTGATTTCAACAAAGGCCTTTTAAAATGACACTTCCGTCATATGTAAATTAATATAGATACAAGAATTATAGCCTTTTTTCTTACATACATGAGCGTTGCAATGCACATGATTTAATGTTTTAGAAAATAATATGAATATGAAAAAGAAGTTGTCAGGTGAGGCAGCAGAATGGAGAAATTGATATAAAAAAACAACATAATAGCTTAATTAATCCCGCCGAACTGAACCAGGGGAGGATTAAGGACCCCTGCCCCCTTATGGCGCTACATATATTCACCGTCTTAGAATCTGTGCGATTTTAAGCTTGACATATTGTACCTGTCTGTTGTTGAAGACTTTATGCATTTTAGTTATTAGTGTCGTTGGGTTGTTGTCTCATTGGCGAATATCCCACATCTCTCAATTTATACGTATATCTATCTTGTAACATATTTACAAAGAATGACTGGGTGTATTTTGTACAAAGGTACGACACATCCCTGGGCAGGATTTTATTTCAAAGTTAAATTGTGATAAAGTTTTCCTTGATGGATCTATCGGTCCAACAACTCATCATTCCGACAGTCCATACCTGGACACCCCACTAGACCGTTAGACGGTTTCTCCTGCAACCCAACTTATTGTCTGATTGGAGGGGAACCAGAAAAAGTCAAGATAAGAATATCCTTAAATTCACTAGAACACGTATAAGTCATTTTTTACTTTCTGGGAGCCTGTAGCAAAGCCATTTTAAAATTGCACTTCCATCCTTTTAATATAATAGAAATATAGCCTTCCGTTCTATCATAACTGAGCGCAAACTATCTTATAATTAACTAACATCAATTGGAGAAGCCAGATGCAAATCACACTTCAGTGAGACAGTATCTCAACATATAATTAAAAACCAATTGTTCAGAGAACAATTGAAGGTCTTTCCACCAGTAAGGATCTATTTTGATATGAAAAATATTAAAATTAGGTTTTAAATGTCAATTCCAGCGTCAAATGACAGCTTAATGTACGCTTATTCCAAAAATATATGGTTTCTATACAAAAAAAGATAAATAAGGGAGATACTTTTTGACTTCCGGTTTAAAAAATGTCACTTCCGGTATTGTTTGATAGTTTACTTGACACTGATTCCAAAAATATATAGTTCTATATACTTTTACAGTAATTTAATACAATAAATAGCTACTTCCGGTTTACAAAAGGTCACTTCCAGTTGGCTTTTTCAAGGTCAAATGGCTTGCAACCTAATGCAAAAAGTCCCATGGCTTTATCATGTATATATATGAGGTAAAAGCAGAGGTCAATATATAGAACGTCGAATCAACCTTTGACCTTGACCCCAATTTCAGGGTCATGAAACAAGGGCTTCAAATCAAAATACCCTAGGTCTCAATTATATATGATGAATGAGTTATATCACCATACATGTAATTTTGAATATGATAGGGGAGAAAACTCCCATTAAATGTCTCCGTACCCTTTCAACTCAAATTTACGTGTTACGACATGTCGCAACTAACAATTCTGTAAAAAAATTTGTCGATATCTTATAAGATTTCTGAAAATTAGTGATAACAAGCCAAAATCAAAATTTATAACATGACCTTGACCTTTGACCTTGACCTCATTTTCATTTTTATGGACCAAGGACCTCAAATCAAAAGACCCTAGGCCTCTATCACTTATGGTTTTCCAGTTACAAATACATTTCACATATATCAAATACAAAAGGGGAAATAACTCTCATATGGAGTCTTCGTAATGCTTCGGTCTGAATAAAACCTAACATCCTGAGGATATAACGAGCAATTTGGAAAAATAAATTTGTCGCTTTCTTTTACGGTTGCGGAGGAGATCTCATAACAAGAAAAACAGTGTTTGGGGAGATAACTCTTACAAAGAAAAGTGTTCGGTTAAACAGGGTCAGTTTCAAAAGCGTATAAACTGTATGATATCATATACCAAAAAACTAAGCGACATCTTTTGAAACAAAAATACACCGCAAGAAAAAAATTAGGCGGAAGAAAAAAAAAATAATCAGAAGAAAACCAATAGGTCTTTCCACGGAAAGGTGGAAAGACCTAATAAAGAAAACAAAATAGAGACATCAAGAATTAGATATTGGTATATGGGTTCCTTGCAAGGTCAACATGTCCGTCAGACAGGCCGGGTTCATGGCTCAGTGATAAAGTCCGTATATTAGAAACTATAAGCTAAATATGTCGTCTATATTTGGTGTACGGAATGATCGTATGGTGTACATGTCCGACTGGCAGGTTTCATCTGACCTTGACCTTATTTTCACGGTTCATTGGACAATATTTGGTTTTTGAGGTTTGGTCTTTTTCTCAGATACTATAAGCGATGTGGACATTATATTTGCAGTGGCGGATCCAGAAATTTTCACAAGGGGGAGGGGCCACTGACTGCCATAAGAGGGGGCCCGCTCCAGTGATTCCCTTTGAATTCATATTTATGGTTCATTACCCAATGTTAAGTTTCATGGTTTTGTTAGTTTAATAGATGCTATGAGCAATAGGTTAACTATGATTGGTGTATGGAGTGATTGTAACGTGTACATGTCTGTTCGTCTGGTAGTGTTCATATGACTTTGAACTCATTTGTCATGGTTCAATGTTTAGTTTTTGTGGTTTCTTCAGTTTATCAGATACTATGAGCAATAAGTCAACTATAGTTGGTGTTATTATGTATTGTATGATTGCAATGTGTATATGTCTGTCGGAACGGTTTCATATGACCTCATTTTTATGTCATTGTGCAATGTTAAGATTTCATGGTTTTGTCAAGTTATCAGATCTATCAGGAACTATAAGCAATAGGGACACTACATTTGGTGTATCGAATGATTGTAAGGTGTGCATGTCTGTCTGGCATGTATTTGTTTAAACCTTGACCTCAACTTCATGGATCATTGATAATGTTAGGTGTATGAGATAAATTTACAGTAAAACCTTCACATTACAGACTTTGGACATAAATTCGATAATGATAAGTAAAACATGAGACATTTCACTGTGTGCACTCTTTGATCTTTCCATAGTATATCATAGTCATATCCAAAAAAATGCAATCTCATACATGAGGGTTCAACTGGGTTGTTTTTCTCTCCCCTTTCTCTCATTCAAGTTACCAATAATTATATTGTAATATTTTTGAGTATTCACAGTACAGAACTTTTTAGTAAATACTCTGTCATATTCATAATATTTCAACTTAAAATGTGTTATGGCTCTCTTACAAAATATCTTATCCATACGATGTTACAATTACAGTAGTTTATAAATTTTGACCTTTTATTATTAATTCCATATTACAGGGTCAAAATTTATAAATTACTGTTATTGTACATGTAATAATGTATGGGTATAAAGAAAGAAGAATCAAAGCATTAAAGAAGCAAAAAGAAGTTAAAATATTACAGAATATTTACCCCCAAAAATTAAAACACCAATTTCTTTTTTCAAGAAAAAATGAGGAGTCAATTCCCCAAGTGCCTGTGATCATTTGCATTAGGAAATTTAAAGAATATTTATTAGTGCAGGCTGCAACTAATTCTGCACTTTTGATCCTTAGTCATTACATATACTATTGAATTACCTCAACATGTACTTAACTAAGTCAGAAGGCTTTTCTGCAGTAGGAAGTATCAGAGAGATGTGTCTTCACAGTCATCGCTGAGAACATTATTTATAAGCAAGGAAGTATATTTTGTTAGTAATAAATCCTTGGTTATTAATAACCTCCAAATATTAGTATCATAGAAAAAAAGGATATGAGGTATTCATCCATGATACAAAATCAGTATATGCACAACAAAACACACAAAAAGCATAGGAAAGGTGCTTTTATTGCTGTTCTTCATCTCCAAGTCACAACACAGAGCAAATAAACTCTCACCTCACTGCAAGTTTAAGACAGCCCCTAGCACCATATTTTCACATGTCATGAGCATCAAGATGAGTACCAGTAATGGCAAAGAGCCTGGCTGATAATTTTTTCTGAGCCCCTGAGTTCCCCTACTGTTTTTGGTCTGATTGATATATGTAGCACAATCATTGGATGTCTGTGTTATGTTACTTTTTGTAATAGATTGACCTATGACCAATTGATAAAACATCTGTCAATCAAAAGTCAACAATAGTAACCACAGATTTAATACCATTACTACAGCTAATTGTGAATTTACTTTGTCCATCAATCTATGGTAAATGTTTACATTGGCAACTTAACCATATTACTCTATGCTCGTCTTATATTGTCATAAGCGTTTTTAATCTACTACTACTGTTTGAATGAGTATGTCATGTATGTTTGTGCTTAAATGCCCTTATTATTCATTTAAATGGCTGTTTTGAGGTGTTTAGTTTATATAATAAAGAATATAAAAATTCAGCTCAACACCTCTCATGGGGGAAATCCCCATAAATTGTGAAGGTTGGCAGGTCTGGTACTTTGCTATACAGTGTTTATTACTTTAATAAGTTTCAGCAAGGTTTTGATTGCAGACCGTGATATTCTCTGTTACACAATGTAAATTTATTCAGTTTTTTAGCCTTATTTAAGCCTCTGGCTATTTAGAGATTGACATATTGTTTAACCATATGTACAAAATGATGTATATTGTTGATGGTTTATCAAATAGATATAAGAAGATGTGGTATGAGTGCCAATGAGACAACTCTCCATCCAAGTCACAATTTGTAAAAGTAAACCATTATAGGTCAAAGTACGGCCTTCAACACGGATCCTTGGCTCACACCGAACAGCAAGTTATAAAGGGCCCCAAAAATGACTAGTGTAACAGTAAAACCATTCAAACAGGTAAACCAATGGTCTAATCTATATAAAAAACGAGAAACACTTATGAACCACATCAACAAACGACAACCACTGAACATCAGGTTTCCTTTATATACAGTACTGTTGACCACTAAGACCAGATGTCTTTTTTGTGTTGTTGAGTTGACGTACAATGTATACCCCATGCTAGTTAAAATTAAAATATACAAATGTAAATACATCTGTCAGAAGACAGTGTCTTAATGAAAAAAAAAAATGTACATGTATAAAAAATGAATTAACTTCTGAATATGACATGGCTTCTTTCCCTTTAGGGATTCAATTCCTTTTCATTGCTTGCAAAAGAGAAAGCACAGGCACTGGTATCTCTCTTTTTTAAAAATTAATTTACCTACATGTATATACCTTAATATAATACGGGAGCCTCGTTGGCAGAGTGGTCTAAGTAGTCGAACTACTGTGTCACTAGCCTGTATAAACTTTTGTTATGAGTTCGAATCCAGCAGGTGGACTCAACTTCAATCTTAATTGACTAGGATTGTCAGTTTTCCTTCCAAAGGTTGTGGTTCTCTCTGCGCACTTCAACTTCCTCCACTAATAAAAGCTGACTGCCACTAAATAGCACATTAGAGCTTATAGTGGCGTTTAACACCAATCAATCAATTACATGTATATGATACTGGCAAGTGTTTTATTAAGGTACATGTATTATTAGTGTATACATGTAATTTTTTTTCAGACAAGTGCCTGTGAGATGAGGCCCGGAAAAATCCTTGGAGAGACTTGATGTGTTTAAAGAAATACATTGTAAATTGATACATGTACATTTAGACCAAAAATAAAATTAAAATTGTTTGATGTTGCCTACTAACCCACATAAAAAACAGCCTACCCGAAAAAAAATTACGACATTTCAAAGTTTTTTGGGGGCTCTAATCATGTCTTTTTCTTGTCTAAAACATGTGACTTATATCATGTATATGTTGATCGATGGCAAAAAAAATCCCTACCTACCTACAATGTACCAAACCCTACAAGGCATGGGTAGGCAACATCAAACAAAGAATTTGTTAAGGGTGGCCTGTATAAAGTTCACAGAGACAAATGTAATTATTTCAATAATCTAATTTTGGTACAGGAGTCAGAAGAATTCAAGAAACCTTCATCATTTTGTGTTATTCAACAATTTATTTGAAAAAAGTTCAAGATTGACACTTGATGAATTATACTTATATATATATATATATATATATATATATACGTGTTCTTGATCAGTTGAAATTCTTGTATGATACATGTACATGTATATCTTTCTGTAAATGTTTATGTGACTATCATGACTATTCAAGTTGGTTCAAGGTACGCAAGAAATGAAAGTCACAACAGTATTTTATTTACCCTATGAATTCAGGTTTACTCAATTCAGGAGTAAACTCACTGATGAGGCAGATGGTAATGTTTTTGTATATAATTAACTATCAGAAGGCTGAATATATGTCTCTTCATTCATACTTATTCTTGTCACTCTTGCACCGTAATAGTCAATTATATAATCTGATCCGTCAGAAGGCATAACTACTTGAGCTGCAATTAGCAATATGTCTACTAGCTGTCCAAGAAAGAAAAATCCAAGTGTTGAAAATTTCAGAAGTCCTATCGCTGGATATCCAAGATAAAATCTGTCTATTCCAAACATTCCTAAAAAGACAGACAACAGAAGCGCTGTTTCAAATGAATGTCCATTTGTCCATCGACATGAGACATTCTTGTAAAATCCAGGAGTTGTTCCATTAAAAGTCACTTCAGCTCCACCATATTTTGATGATTTACAAGTCACATTCGCTGCTGGCATACATTCTACTGGAACAGTTTTTGTTGTTTTATCACAATTCTCTTCACTTTGAGTTTCTATATCTACAATTGGCTCTTTGCATACATACTGACCCAGTTGCAAATTTTCACAAGGCAAAGCTTCCTCAAAAGATATTGCATATATCACATTTGTATAAAATAGAGTCAACATGTGAATTGTCAACACACTTGTCAAATACTTTAGGACATATTTTAGGTAGTTCATCTTTATTTGTCACATAACTAGTATTACTATTAACTAGGCATACATAAGATATCACCATATGAGAAAGTACTTCCAATTTCGTTGTTGTTTGTTGACAAATTTCACAGGAAATGGTACAGAGTTGTCTAACTTGGAAAATATTACGCAAAATAATCCTGTGTGTTTTATTCCTAAAAAAGATGATTTAAAATGCATTTTCTTTTGTCTGTATCTCGAGATTTAAGGAAATGAATTTCAGGAATGCTTTTTTGCAAAACAGTCCTTTCTTCGCTATAAAATATTTATTCATTATTATTTAATCGGATATACCTACGCAGGTGTTGTTGGTCACCTTTCTAAAACGTGCATAACCAACTTTTTTCTTCGAAAAAGCAAACAAATTATGTCTTCAAGTTCAAGAAGATATTTCTTCGGATAATGATTCTGATCTTGATATACTAGCAATAGAAGCTTGTAATAAGATGAAGAAGTTGTTAGAAAAATCAAATAACACTGGGAAAAAGAAACAAATGACCCTAACTCGTGATAGGAAAATGAAATGTGACACTTTAAACGAAAGTGAGAAAGCAAAATCTAGTCAAAACCTTTTTGACTTTGTAATTGATAAAACACCTCTAAGGTATGAGAATGAAGAAGTCACCAAAACATTACAACCATCTACAGAGACTGATGACAAAACTGAAGAGAGTTCAAGTCTTGACTCAAACAAGGCAAAAAAGAAAGTGTAAGACATTTCATTACTTACCTTTAACACTTTTATTTCATTTCATTGTTAACCGAGATGCACATTGAAACGATGATATGTGACTGGATTGCTTCCCTTCAGTATTAGATACTTAGCTATATATACATGATATATATAGTCAGTCATACATGTAAGTGGTTAAGCTAAGGAAGTACTTCTTTAGCTCAGTCAGTTAAAGCACTGCCTTGTAACACAGAAGTCCCAGGTTCGAGTCCCAGTGGAGACAATGTGATTTTCTCATAAGAATCATTGAGAATCATGCTCTCCGGTTATATTTGACGCCCAACTAAAAACCCATGGTGGTTAGAGAGGTTTTCAAGCTAGGGTATGTGTTATTAGAGTCATTAATTGATAATGGTATGATGACTCTTGGGGTGGGGGAAGTTTGACAGGATTGCTTCCCTTCAGTAGTAGATACTTAGTCAGCCGTTGAGCTAAGGAAGTGCTACTTTAGCTCAGTCGGTTAAAGCGCTGCCTTGTAACACAGAAGTCCCGGTGGAGACAGTGTGATTTTCTCATAAGAATAATGCTCTCCGGATACAGATATATATGTAAATACTAAGTCTGATGTAAAAAAAGAAAAGTGGGAGATACATAATAATAATTTCACTTATTTGTTCTTCAATTTTTATCAAATTATCAGTTGTGGTTATCTGTTATTCATTTAGAAATGTTTGTGTGGTGGCTGCCAACTAAATTAATTATTATTGAACTGATCAAAACAATATTCATGACTGTCACTTTGTTTTTTAGTCAAATAGCAAACAAAAATTATATGTACGTGTATAAAACCAGTTCTGAACTCTTAAAAAACTATCTTTTTTATACTGCTGTTAATCTCAGATTTGGTGACTGACTGTCAGGACTTTCAGCTGCAGGGTCCTATGCTAAAAATTTAAAGTGGACTAATCAGGGGGAGATAATTGTAAACTGGATATAACTTTCATTAAAATTTTAGGTATTCGTTATATTATTTTGTAAAGGGGCCTGGTGTACTTTTTTCTTTGTTTTTTATATATGTTTCATTTTAATAAAGTACATGTATGTTCTTTGATTAGGAAAAATTGTACAATGAATATAGGGACATTGTCATGATTAAATGCTACTATATAGCTACATGTAATATTAATCAGTTATATTTAAATTTTAGGGGAAGTTTATCATCAAGTTTACAGACAAAAATACAAATATCTGATAATTATTTCCAAAAGACATCTGATAACAAATCAAAGAAGAAAACTAGATCCAATGTAGCAGATTTAGATGAGGTATGTATTTTACAGGGTTTTAAAAACATTTATGTGTAGTTGACAGACAATGTAATGGATGTATTGTTTGTGATATCAGTGTTCTCCCCAGGATTTTTTTAAGGCGCAAAATTCAAGGGCGCATAACTCTTTTTTTAGAGTGAACGTTTGTGATCTGAAGCAATAAGTCATAAATCATGACATGCAATATGAATTGCTTTGTGTTATGTGTTTAATAATGCAGAGTATTAATGAATTACAAGAATATATATATGAAATAAATTGATTTTAAACACAAGAGTTATTTATATTCAGTCAATTAAAGAAGTCTAAATATAAATATTCATCTCTACTCTCTGCTCCTTCTTGGGATATTGTTTCAAGATAGTGTTATTTTGTTGGACAGTCTGTTCCTCAACTTTGTCTTTATTCTCTTCAGGGTTAAAAATGAAACCCCAACTCACAATAACTTTTGCTTATACCCCATTTAACATTTCTAAGCCATGAAAACTCAGTCAGCCACTTGTCATTGAAACCAGAAACATGGTGCTTGCTTTTATCAATTGCTAAAACTTGAGCTTGGTTGGGATTAGGAGAAGCAACAAAATCTGCTCATACTGACAGTGTAGACGGAGGTGTATTCCCCTTTTCATTAGAAGTCATTGGTCTGATAAAAACTTCTACTTCCATCATCTACCTTTTGCTTATAATTCACCCCTTTGTTATTTGCAGAGAACATGTTCATTCAGAATTAATAAAATCGAATATGGTAAGATATTTGGTATACAACTTTTTAAAACAAATTTTTTTTATAAATGAACAGCTGACCAGTTTCCGTAGTTTCACATTACGCTTCCGTGCGTATTATTGTTTAATCCTATTTTTGGCAGATAGATATAAACAAAACTTTACAAATTCGTTAAAGTCAAAACCATTGAAATTATTTACCAGTGACATTATACAGAAGCTGCAGCGATTCTGTACCCGTGTTGATTGTCACATATTTCCCGACGCACGGATTCACGATCGATGTTCAATGATCATTTTATTTCTAAAAATATGACAGTTTCAGATCTAGACGAATTTACCTTGCAAGCAACATTTTTTTCACTTTCTATTAAAGTTAATCACTCCTCGTTATCTTTAATCAAACTTTATTTTAATTTGTTCAACTACTAATACTTTCATTCATAGTTTCCATCGTAAATATCTTTAGCAATGTGTATTCAACACGTTCATTGGTCGTGTTTAAATAGATTCTTCTTCTCGACCAATGAAAAAAATTTGTTATATAAATTGTCAAGTGATCACACACACGTTGCGTAAATACAATGTATTTGCGATCTATTTCTTCAATTTCTGCACTGAAGTTTTTAAAATTTTTAATTTTCTTCAAAAAATATCTATCTTCTTGATGATCATTTACGCTATTACCTGATAAGACTGAGATAAGCGTGGCTCAGGTAAAACTAATTATCAGTTATTGCGTAACACTGACCGACCCATCAGCGGTGATCAGTAACTTGACAATTTTAACCAACATTTATAATGAAAATGTGAAAATTAACTCGCTGCGGGATCAAGTATTAAGGGACAGCGGCCAATTAAGACGCTGCAGGATCTACAAAAATATTATGAAGGTGCTGCGGCACCGCAGCGTCATATCGGCCTGGGGAGAACACTGGATATCCTGATTTATTGTTATAAGTATAATAATCCAAACAAAAGACCTATTCAGATATATAGTGTTACATTTAAATACCTTCATTTTTTTAGGGAAACTTATGGATGTTGATTTCAAAATGTCTTGATTTTTAAATGCAGTTTCTTCTTTTATCATGTTTATCATGTTTATGCTAAATTCTGTTGGCCATATAATATATCAGCCAAGAAGCTTAATAACCTGATAATCAGTGTGTTTGATCTGTTTTTCATTGCTAATGCTATTTTTTGTTGTTTCATGTTAAATTCAGAGAATATATATGCTTGTATTTGTTGAAAACAATTTTATTTGATTGGACTATCCATTATTGCAGTATATGAATGGATTGAAGTTAAAACTTAACACCTTTAATAATACCTAAATGACTACCAGTCACAAAATATTGGGCACAGTGATCATGGTGATACACAAAAGCTTTTAATAACAATTTGTGAAATACAACTTGCAAATTATTGTAAGTTCAGAAATTTATGCAATATTTTGATTAAATGATGGCAAAAATTGTGACAGACTAGATTTAGCAAAAACGAAAACTTGCGTTTAAAATTGTGATGGTATAATTTCTTAGAGCATTTCCTGAAATTGCAATAATGTATCTTGCATTTTTTTATTGTTCAATAATGAGTCCTGTCGCATAGAAAAATTTAATCGAAAAAGGGGACACTTTACAAAGCAAAAAATAGAAATTTTAGAGGGTAATACAGGCCAAATACTTATTCTAAAATGAGATTGGACTAGTATAAAAGGTATTTAACTCGCTAAAATGCAGGAAAAATGACACAATGTAAGATAATCAAAATCAAGTGTTTGCAAAGGCTTTTCCGTGCAATTACTTCAAATCATCACAGAAATCATTTTGAAACGATCGGTACATATCAAAACATACATAATAATATAAAAATAGCATAACTTACAGTGTGGTGGACAATAATACGACAGAAATTGATCCAAAGTTCTCAAGCGAGCAAGCATGTGTTGTGTTAATAAAGGGAGATAATCACACAAAAAGTATCTATGGAAAGCATGTTAAAAATATGCCAGAACATGTACCAATATTCCCACAACATAATAAGTTTTTATACCCCTTTTATGGACACATTGATATTTTCATAGTTACATAAAAGAAGAATTATAACAAGTTATTAGATTAATTTGATTTTGTAATTCTTCTCTGTTGTTACAGGTGATGAAGAAAAGTGTAATAACTCTAGATTTTGTAATTCTTTACTGTTACAGATTATGAAGAAAAGTGTTATAACTCCAGATTTTGTAATTCTTCACTGTTACAGGTGATGAAGAAAAGTGTAATAACTCCAGATTTTGTAAATCTTCTCTGTTGTTACAGGTGATGAAGAAAAGTGTTATAACTCCAGATTTTGTAATTCTTCTCTGTTGTTGCAGGTGATGAAGAAAAGTGTAATAACTCAAGATTTTGTAAATCTTCTCTGTTGTTACAGGTGATGAAGAAAAGTGTAATAACTCCAGATTTTGTAATTCTTCTCTGTTGTTGCAGGTGATGAAGAAAAGTGTTTTAACTCCAGATTTTGTAATTCTTCTCTGTTGTATTAGGTGATGAAGAAAAGTGTTATAACTCCAGATTTTGTAAATCTTCTCTGTTGTCGCAGGTGATGAAGAAAAGTGTAATAACTCCAGATTTTGTAAATCTTCTCTGTTGTTACAGGTGATGAAGAAAAGTGTTATAACTCCAGATTTTGTAATTCTTCTCTGTTGTTTCAGGTGAGGAAGAAAAGTGTAATAACTCCAGATTTTGTAATTCTTCTCTGTTGTTGCAGGTGATGAAGAAAAGTGTTTTAACTCCAGATTTTGTAATTCTTCTCTTTTGTATTAGGTGATGAAGAAAAGTGTAATAACTCCAGATTTTGTAAATCTTCTCTGTTGTTAGAGGTGATGAAGAAAAGTGTTATAACTCCAGATTTTGTAATTCTTCTCTGTTGTTACAGGTGATGAAGAAAAGTGTTATAACTCCAGATTGTGTAATTCTTCTCTGTTGTTACAGGTGATGAAGAAAAGTGTTATAACTCCAGATTTTGTAATTCTTCTCTGTTGTTGCAGGTGATGAAGAAAAGTGTTATAACTCCAGATTTTGTAATTCTTCTCTGTTGTTGCAGGTGATGAAGAAAAGTGTTATAACTCCAGATTTTGTAATTCTTCTCTGTTGTTGCAGGTGATGAAGAAAAGTGTCATAACTCCAGATTTTTTAATTCTTCTTTGTTGTTGCAGGTGATGAAGAAAAGTGTTTTAACTCCAGATTTTGTAATTCTTCTCTGTTGTTACAGGTGATGAAGAAAAGTGTTATAACTCCAGATTTTGTAATTCTTCTCTGTTGTTAGAGGTGATGAAGAAAAGTGTTATAACTCCAGATTTTGTAATTCTTCTCTGTTGTTACAGGTGATGAAGAAAAGTGTAATAACTCCAGATTTTGTAAATCTTCTCTGTTGTTACAGGTGATGAAGAAAAGTGTTATAACTCCAGATTTTGTAATTCTTCTCTGTTGTTGCAGGTGATGAAGAAAAGTGTTATAACTCCAGATTTTGTAATTCTTCTCTGTTGTTGCAGGTGATGAAGAAAAGTGTCATAACTCCAGATTTTTTAATTCTTCTTTGTTGTTGCAGGTGATGAAGAAAAGTGTTTTAACTCCAGATTTTGTAATTCTTCTCTGTTGTTACAGGTGATGAAGAAAAGTGTTATAACTCCAGATTTTGTAATTCTTCTCTGTTGTTAGAGGTGATGAAGAAAAGTGTTATAACTCCAGATTGTGTAATTCTTCTCTGTTGTTACAGGTGATGAAGAAAAGTGTTATAACTCCAGATTTTGTAATTCTTCTCTGTTGTTGCAGGTGATGAAGAAAAGTGTTATAACTCAAGATTTTATAATTCTTCTCTGTTGTTGCAGGTGATGAAGAAAAGTGTTTTAACTCCAGATTTTGTAATTCTTCTCTGTTGTGTTAGGTGATGAAGAAAAGTGTTATAACTCCAGATTTTGTAAATCTTCTCTGTTGTTGCAGGTGATGAAGAAAAGTGTTTTAACCCCAGATTTTGAGAAACAGTTTTCACTGACACCTTATGAAGAAAGTGTTAGACAACAGAAAAAACAAAGACGGGTCAGTTTGTTTAATATGTATTGCAAAGACTTTAAATCACAGTTCTAGCCATTCAATATATAGTGATTGATAAAGTTCATAGAGTATCAGTCTTAAGGATGTACTTTAAAGGTGAAATTAAAAAAATCTAGAATTTAAATTTAATACTATAAGTCAGAAGAGCATTAGTTAAGGAACAAAATAAGCTAACAATATTGATAGGTTATGGAGCTCCTTTTCGAGATATTTGATTTAAAAAAAATTGTGGGAAAAGGCTGACTCAGACTTTAACTGTATATTTGCATTGGTATTATTTGGGTCTCAAATCGAAAGAAAAGAAATCTATAATCTGCTTAAATTTTGGTAAATGACCTTTTATGAGCTATTGAAGTCTTATATGAAAAAAAAATGGGTGTTATGGTGCAAAATATTTTACCCTGTATCATGAGAAAACAACCAAGGAGTCCAAACATCTGACACAAATTCCTAAACCTGACCTAAGTACATCCTTAAGACAGAAGTTGAAATATAATACAAATGAAAAAAGAAGTTCCAATTTTTAAAAATGAAATTTAAAATAAAAAAAATCAGATTTAATTCTACTGAATGTACTTGGTATTTGTTGATGACTGCAAAATGAAAAATAATTAAAAAAAAAACAACACTGCAGCTAATGAGGACTCATGTTTCTACCAAACCATGGTAAGTAGTCAAACCAAGCTCACTCCGGATTGTATTACTTACTTGGTAGACATGATAAATACAGATAATTATCTCTTTATTATTAAATTATGATAAGATTATGATACTTTTTAGGTTAATAACAATATAGGTAAACACTGTGCTCACTAAATAGAGTGGACTGGGTGGACAAAGCTAGCAGTTTCCTCCACTCTGTTCCAATTTCCACTGAGGATGAATGAAAAAGAGCACATTCAATTTTAAGCAGTAGTGTAAAATGTTCAATTAATATGAATTGATTTTTGTTGCATTCATTCAACTTTTAAAGTAACAATGTTAATCTACAGTGAAGTGAAACATTAAAATATGAAAACTAGCAAATTGATATTATTTCTCAAGATTATATATCATATATTATATCATGTCTGCATGATTTCCAAACACAACCTTTACAAATCATGTTAAATTGTGTTTTTTTTTTATATCCTGTAAACTTTCGAAAAAACTGAAATAAATTTGAAATGAAAATTAATTTGCAGAAGGAGAGAGAGAAGACAAAGGGAAAGAACTGGTATAACATGGAAGCACCTGAAATGACAGAAGAGAAAAAAAATGATTTGATGGTTGTCCATATGAGGAAAGCATTGGATCCTAAACGATTCTATAAAAATAATGATACAGTGTCAATACCTAAGTATTTCCAAGTAAGTGTAACATAATTTATTTACCTTAATTTGTTAAATTACACTTTCTGTTATCATGTTTATGGAATGCAATAAAACAATGTAGTTTCCTGATAGAATTTTGGTATTAAACATATCAATGAATTTGCTGCTTTATAGGGCTTGGGATAAATTGGAGCATGGTGGGTTTTTTAGACGGCTGTCTGCTTTTAGGGACCGTGTATAATCCTATTTTCTTCAAGATCTCTAATTTTTTGTGGCTTTACATTTCAGTCTTATCAAAATATGCTCTGCATCTACTATCATTCATATTCTTATCATATTTATCATGTCCGTCATTATAAACAGAAAATGCTCAGCGTAGTTAATTTATTTAATTTACATTTTCAGCTTGGAACAGTAGTAGAAAGTTCTGCTGATTTCTACCACTCGAGGGTTCCCAAGAAACAGAGGAAATCTAATATGGTAGAAGAACTTCTAGCTGATGCTGAATTTAGAACGTAAGTGTTGAATTTAAAGTACTTTTATTTTCCAGACAAACAAGCAGACAGATTGGAGGAACCCCTATCACTATATGTCGCCACTATAGAAACAAATAGGGATAAGGTGTATTTAAACTGAAATGAAACACTTATTCTACAAATGTATACAAAACATATAAGACATGATTAATGAAACACAGACATTTATGGAGGAATGAAAATACAAATTTATCTGACAGTATAATTAACATTTTTTTAATTTTTATTTTATAACTGAATACATATTTGTTTTTCCAATAGGTACAACAAGAGGAAGTATGTTGAGATACAAGAACAGAAAAGAAAAGCACAAGGTCCTTACAAACACATGAAAAGACTCAAGAAAAATAAAAGATGATCATTTTATATAATAGTTAAATTTTTATATGAAACTTATTGTAATATTATATATACTATGGTTATATCTGTCATTGTCCCAAGTTTAACATGAAACACATTGATATCTAGGGAGAAAATAACAAAAAGTACAATTAGAAGCTTTCAGGCTGCACTATGATGTAATTTCGTTTATTTAGAATTTGTCACATTTCTTTAAATGGAGTTTGGTTCTGGTTATGTTTCACACATTCAGGGTGGGGGGGGGGGGGAGAAAGTTCATCAAATCAGAGATCGGGTTGTCGAATCGTTTCCTTGCTCACAAATTGTTAATTATTTGCCTTACAAGTATTTGTCATATATAGCCAATTTGGAAAGGGGGTCTCACATACATTTTGTAGTTAGTCCTGTTAGTGGTCACCACACTTGTAGGAACATATTAAACAGGAAGAATTAACACCTAATGTGGCTTCCCAGATTGCAGGGATATTAAAGTGAGGGACCCACATATAATATTGCTTTTCATGTGATAAAGTATGCATTATATAATTTTATTATTTTAAAAAGCTTTCTGACCAATTTAGGTTTAATTTAAATTGTCTTATGGAAAACCACATGGTAAAACGATAAAAAGAAATTAATAATAATAAAACATATTTAGTCACAGAATTTCAAAGTCATTTCAACAAAATTAAGCCTATCTAGCAGTTCGATCATATTTGTTATGTAGAATTTTATTATATTGACTCCCCTCTTTTCCAATACAATTATGTAAAGGAATATATATATATATATATCCAGTTTTACTTTTTACTGTTTTCATACTTTAAATGGGTTTTAAGATAATGACACTTCTATCCCAGCTGTTGATCTAATATCTGTCTAATATAAATAACCAGACAATGTTGTCCGTTATTTAGGTGATCCCCAGTATTTTCCCGCGAAATGATCACATGTGTCATGGTTGTCAACAAAAGGAACATGTGGTCAGGGAATTCATTTGTTTTCTGGATTACTGCTTTTATTGATTTAGTTAGGATATAAACATTCCATTTAATGTACAGTCGAACATTTGCATTTATAGAATACCGGTAGTTTGCAAACAATTTTTACTTTTCAAAGAAACTAGGTCATGATCGTTCATTGGTCCTTGTTCAACCATGCGAGACCATGTAAATAATGTAATCAGCTGTCAGTGTACATCCCTTGAGGCAATGTTCACACCAATTAACAATAATTAGATTTCTTAATTGCCACTGACATGATATTTGGATTAGGGATATCTGAAATTTAACTTCAATCTATTGAATTTTCAAGTCTGGCGAACAGTAAAATAGGCGTGGCGCTGGGAATTTTAGTGTGGTGCTAGAAATTTAAGCGTGGTGAACCGCCACGCTTAAATAGGTCATGGTGATCCCTGGAACTTCAAATCAGAGCTTCCTGAAATTTGTTATCAGGCTTTATGTGAACATGCTTTACTGTGTTTTTCTTTTTCAGATTTAAAGGCTTTCAAATGGAAAGCATTGTCAAGAACCTTATTCCATGGGACTTTTGCCTGGGGTCTTTTTTTTTTCTGAGAAACCAATATTGTAGTAACCAACTAAAAACTGTAAGCTGCTACACCCTACACAAATGTGATGAACATTTCATATATGACCATTATGTGTTAGAATATATAAGTTTCAGAAAACAGGAGGTTGATGAGTGATGAATCATGATGACATGAAGCCTGATATTAAATTTCAGGAAGTTTTTATACGACCACAAAAGTTTGCGTATTGGTATGACATTGGTGTCCTCGTCGTCGTCATCTTATGACACATTGGTTTTCGCACTCTAACTTTAGTTTAAGTGAATGGATCTCTATGAAACTTTACCATTAGGTTCAATACCACAAAAGGAAGGTTGGGATTAATTTGGGGGTTATGGTACCAACAGTTAAGGAATAAGGGGCCAAAAGGGGCCAAAAATAAGCATTTTTGTAACTTCCAGACATAACTTGTGTGTTAGTGTATGGATCTCTCTGACATTGTACCACAAGGTTCCATATCACAAAGGGAATGCTGGGATTGATTTTGGGGGTCATTGCCTCAAAATTTTAGGAATTAGGGGCAAAAAAAAGGGTAAAAAAACAAGCATGTTTCTAGTTTCATGACAATAACTTGTGTGTAAGTGTATGGATCTTTCTGAAATTGTACTACGAGGTTCCATATCACAAAGGGAAAGCTGGGATTGAGTTTGGGGGTAATTGTCCAAAACATTTAGGAATAAGGGGCCAAAAATAAGCTTTTTTCTAGTTTCCAGACAATAACTTGTGTTCAAGTCTATGGATCTTTCTGAAATTGTACTGCAAGGTACCATACCACAAAGGGAAGGCTGGTATTGATTTTGGGGGTAATTGCCTCAAAATTTTAGGAATTAGGGGCCAACAAGGGGCAAAAAACAAGCATGTTTCTAGTTTCATGACAATAACTTGTGTGTAAGTGTATGGATCTTTCTGAAATTGTACTACAAGGTTCCATATCACAAAGGGAAAGCAGGGTTTGAGTTTGGGGGTAATTGCCTTAAACGTTTATGAATTTGGGGCCAAAAAACAAGCATTTTTACAGTTTCCAGACAATGACTTGTGTTCAAGTGTATGGATCTCTCTGAATTTGTACTGCAAGGTACCATACCACAAAGGGAAGGCTGGGATTGAGTTTGGGGTGATGAATCATAAGGGGGTTCAAAAAATTGGGGGGGGATTTTTGTTTCCTTTTTTTCCTTTTTTTTTTTAAATTTTCCATTTTAAATTGTTTTTTTCTGATTTATATATAAAAGCAAATAATAATGATATGGTTTGAATAGGTTAATTAAAAAAAATTAAGTTCTAAGACCACATTCATTCCGTGTCAGAAACCTATGCTGTGTCAAATATTTAATCACAATCCAAATTCAGTTCTGTATCAAGCTTGAATGTTGTGTCCATACTTGCCCTTACTGTTCAGGGTTCGACCTCTGTGATCATATCAAGCTTCGCCCAACGGAGCATTTTATTATTTGTAGTTCGGAAGAAACATGTAACAAAAATTTCCTACTTGACCATTATGTATAAGACTATATGAATAATCAGTAAACAGGAAGCTGACAAGCCATAAATCTGAAAACGCATCATACAGTAAAGCATGTTCACATGAAGCCTCATAACAAATTTCAGGATCCCAAAAAACAAATGAGAAGAAAAATGGCCATTTTGAGTTAGAATAAATAAGTATTTGGTAAACAGGAAGTTGACATAGTCCAATAGCACTAATTGCAAAAGTTTACAGGCTGTTTTTATTGTGAAGTATGGTTTTATTAAAATAATGCTCAAACTTAACTCTCAAGTTACATTCAGATCGTCAGTAGGTTACAATCAATAGACATTTTGATTAAAGGAAATGAAAGGTATACAGGCTCCTGACATAGGACAAGCACATAAAGAATATGGCAGGATTTAACATGTTCAGTTCACTGTTCAACTGAAAGTTCTAAAAATCAGTATACTAGTTGTTATTTTACCGCTAGCTATGAACCCTTGATAAGAAAAAGCAGGGGGTATATAGCTTTATATGTCCTTTTACGGGACGTATTATGGTATACCGTTGTCCGTCCGTCTGTTCGTCTGTCCGTCATCAACATGTCGGACAATAACGAAAAAAGGCTTTAATTAATTTGCATGAAACTTTGGTGAATTGTTTATATCTTTTGATGTGAGCTGCCTTTCGATTTTTATAAATTTTTGAATACGTTTCCGAGTTATGGGGTTTTATTCATTGAAAAATGGGGATTTTTCAGTTTTCGGACAAAAACTCGAAAAACTTTCACCAATTTGCAAGAGACTTTGATGAATTGTTTATATCTATTGATGTGAGCTCCCTTTCGATTTTTATGAACTTAAGATTCCGAGTAATTGGGTTTTATTCATTAAAAAGGGGGATTTTCCAGTATCGGACAATAACTCAAAAATGCTTTGAGCATTTTTTTATGAAACTTTGTTGAATTGTTTATATCTATTGACGTAAGCTCCCTTTCGATTTTTATAAATTTTAGATTTTACGTTTCCGAGTATGGGATTTTATTCATAAAAAAGGGTGATTTTCTAGTTTTTAGACAATAACTCAAAAGTACTTTGAGCAGTTTTCATGAAACTTTGGTGACTGGTTTATATCTATTGAAATAGCCTCCTTTTATTTTTTTTTTTATAAATTTCTGATATGACATTGAGGAGTTCTGGAACTTTATCCTTTGAAAAAGTGATGGGCGTAACATGCTCTCATGGCGCAGCTCTTTATTGACCAGCCTGTCGGTCAGTCAGTCAGTTAATTTCATTTCAAGAAGACAACTTAATGTGTTTGAGCTTTTGATTTTGGCATTTGATAATGAACTTTCCGTTTTGAGTTTTCCTTGAAGTTCGGTATTTTTGTTTTTCCACTTTTTATATGACACAATCGATAAAATTAAAGACTGTGAAAACATGCCTCTAGTGAGTTGATACACAGCTAGACACATCGTATAGGTCATCCACAACTTGCGAGTTTACTGATATAGTGTCGATTTCACTTCCTCGTATCTTTTATAGAAGAGTTTTTTTTAAGGAGAATACCCCTGTGTGAATCTAGTCCATTTAGTGCGAACATGCACGAGCGTCACGTATATTGAAATATTTTAACACAATACGATGGAACAGAGGGTATTTAACTGCAAATAACATTCACGGTACCATTTGTTTTGCATCAGTTGCGCATAACGACAATTTTAGAAAGTCTCTTCTGTGATGTTTTATGCCAACATATTTGAGCTCAATTCCGAATACAAACGCTGAAGAGTTGATAAAACCAGAAAGACCTTACGAAAAAAGCCTGACCCGGATAAGGAAAAATTTTCACTAGTCTCATAAGGACAAGGAGTGTGTATAATGATGAAAATACAAGTCGACATCAGTTCTAGACAACATCGATACATTATGTCATACATGCATAGTCGTGTAAGTAGGGGTTCACTTTAAGATGAAATTAAACCATAAACTCTACACGCATAAGCAGTTTTCATAAGGGGTAACAGTTTAAAAAAAAAAAGCGGAAGATACCAAGGGAGCCTTCAAAACTCATAAGACGAACTCGCTAGCCAATATAAAAATAATGAGATGTGGCTTGATTGTCAATGAGATAACTATCCACCAAAGTTCAAATGACCATGATGTTAGTAATTATAGGTCACCATACGGCCTTTACCAATGTGTAAAACCCATTCCATATACCGAACTATAAAAGGCCTTGACATTTAAAATGTGAAACAATTCAATCGAGAAAACTAACTGTCTAATTCAAAGCAATTTATTATAAGTAAACCAAATAGGACAGACATGCATGAACGATAAACACTGATTTACATGCTCCTGACTTTGGACAGACAAATAAAGAATGTGGCGGGGTTAAACATGTTATGAGCGCTTAATCCTCCACATAAGCTGGGCAGTGGTGTAACAGAACAAAATAAGAGCAAACTGGAAAAATCAGCTGCATATTGCTTAACTCAATAGATCGGTCCGAAGAACAAAAACAAGTTACATAAAAACAATAAATCCCACCAAAGAAGCCAGTTTTATTATTTTGTAAGCCAGGCGCTTAATTCGTCTACAAAAGACGTCCCAGTGACGCTCGAATAAAAAGTTAAAAGAACAAATAAAGTACGAAAGTAAAGAGCATTGAAGACTAACGATTCCGAAAAGTTTAGCCAAATATAGCTAAGGTAATATATTCTTGGGGAAGAAAATCCTAAGTATTCAAACAATTCAATGTCTGGTAAACACTTAATTTATTAATATTACCATAGACACAAAACACCGATATAAGAGTCCTCGCAGTTACTGAAATCTAGTTCAAAGTCAATTGCACCTTATAAACCATGTTCTCCCAGTCTCAAGTTTAATATTCACCTAAGCATATACAATTTACAGGTAGTGTTAATTTAGATCAATGGAGGGTCAGTTTATTTTTAAATCTTTTTAAAGTTTCAACATTTCACAACAACACAAAAATTAAAGGTTAATCCCGTCACTAAAAATAGAAGAGATTTTCCAGTAAACAAATGGGTATTGCATGTAGCAATTAGGAGGACAAAACACGAATACGTGTTTTAATTATACTGGCTTAGGAACGAAATAAAAATGTAGACAGAGACAGACCGATTGATTTTTTTTACAGAAACGAAAAAGACTAGGGACGAAATATAGAGTACCATCAGGAAAGTGAAGAGCAAATATTTGATATCAATGGAATAAGCTTATAAACAGAACAAAAAGGTCGACTCTGACGTGAAGAGGAAATATTTGTTAGAGAGTGGATAGACACAAGGGCGAAACAAAACGTACAGAACAGTTTTGTTGTAGAATGTGAAACAGTTTAGGTACGAAACAAAAAATTTGATAGGAACGCAAAAAGTCAATATTTGATGGAAATGGAAAAAATGAGCAGGTCTTCGAGTTTAATGTCAAAAGAGAGTTTTGAATCAGCGATTGAACTAATGCCAACTGACAGAAGCACAGATGGAAATGGTCGATGTTTTTCAGATGAGAACCAGGATTGTAAAATTAACAAAAAATCTGGTGGAAAGAATAGTCATGTATTCAAAGACCACAAATGTTGTTTGTTAATTGCTACTATCGTATTTATCATGTTTATAGTGTTTCTGAGTATCTTCATCATCATAAATTACAATCGCTGTGAGGTATATATAATTGACTACAATACAGATAATTTATTATTGTGTTTCAAATTAAATGATTCGGTAATAGCAATAGTTATATTTGTTTGTTTCAAGTAAATAAGAATATTCTTTTTTGTTTGTTTAATACTTTTTGCCAATGATTCTATTCGTGAAAATTGTAGTTTTGCAATATATATATATGAATATTTGTACTGTATATCTACGATAATCATTATTTACACTAAATTGAAATATGACAAAGCTATTTAAAACGTGGTTAAAGTATGATTCTATCCGTTTAATGAGATATTAATTTTCACATTACAGCCAACTCGTGAATATTCTTTTGTTTCCGGAAACTGCACTAACTGTACAAAAGAAAATAAAACAGAGGAAAAAGGTATTTGATTTAAAACTAAAAGCACTACTACAACATTTTTGAATTATGATGTGTATACCCCGTTTATCGATGTGTACGCATGACATAAAACATGGCATGGCCAAACAAAATATTTGGAAAAGAGAATACAAAGATTTCCTTTTACTAGTTTTACAACTTTATTTTTCATCAGATTGTATGGGTTTTGTTTCGAGTTCTTATAAAAATCACCTTAACAAGGAATATAAGATATACAGAGCGCACTTTGGATTAACCTAACATTCGAGCTTTTTAATTCTATTTCAACTTAAACGCGTTCTTATAAAAACTTCAATCTACAGCTTTGAATTAGATTTTTGTTTACTGTAAATTCAGAAATTTTTGCGATGCTTTATTTTTGCACAAATTGTGACGGAATTGGAATTGTCAAAATGTAATTTCGTATTTTAAACTTTGATACAATTATTTGTATTCTTCATTTACTGAATTGAAACAAGTTATCTCGGAATTTTGTCCAATCTTCAAAAACCGCAATAATAATTGCACGCAAAAGTTCTGAATTTCAAGGTACCTTTTGTTTTTTTATGTTTCCATCTACGATAAAGCGTCCAACAAGTCGCAATTTAACAAGTAGCAATTCTGTTTTTAAAGTCAGTTTGAAGGGATGGTTTTCATTCTGATTTATGAGAGGTTTACATTGTATGCTGTTGTAGAAAAAAGTAGCCGACAATCGCTCAATTGCATGTAAATTTGTCATTTCCCCGTCGATTTTTCACATTTAATGGATTCAAAGCTAAAAGCTATAGAAATTCAGATACACATTTGGTTGGTGTCAAATAACTCAAAAGATCGGTCCAATGCAAAAAACCAACTAACATAAAAAACAATAAAACCTATCAAAGATGTCACATTGATGAATTTGTACGCCAGACGCGCGCTTCGTCTACAAAAGACATTTCAGTGACGCTCGAATAAAAAAATGTTAAAAGACCAAATCTAGTACGACGTCAAAGAGCATTGAAAACAATGATTCCAAAATGTTTAACGAATTGTAGCTAAGGTGATCTATTCCTGGGGTAGGATATCTTAAGTATTCAAACAATTCAAAGTTTTGTAAACAGTTAACTTATTTATATTACCATAAACACAAAGAACCGATATAAGTGTCCTCGCAGTTATTGAAATCAAGTTCAAAGCCAATTACACCTAATAAATCCAAGCATACAAAATATACAGGTAGTGTTGATTTAGACCAATAAAAAGGTTCATTCTATTTTTAAATCATTTTTAAAGTTCCAACATTTCATCAGACAAAAATTAAAAGGTTAATCCCGTCACTAAAAATAGAAAAGATTTTCCAGTAAACTAATGGTATTGCATGTAGCAATCAGGAGGACAAAACACGAATACGTGTTTTGATTATACTGGCTTAGGAACGAAATAAAAATGTAGACAGAAACAGACATATTGATTTTTTTACAGAAACGAATAAGATTAAAAAAATGATTAAACATGCAAATATCCCCGAGAGGGACAAAAACTAGTTACAATTGATTGAAAAGTAACAAAGAGTGAAATAGATTTTATTAGATTGCATTTCATCAGAAATTCACACTGAGATCACCCCATTGATTGATAGAGTATTTGATCTTTTATTAACTGCTGATGGGTAACTGCCACTTTTTTGCCGCACAATGAAATCATCTATTCACGGTCTTCCATGTCATTTCATTCTTTGCTTGAATATATGTGTTACTTGTTAATAAATCAATGTATTCCATTGTTATGTTCTTTATCTTATGTTCTCTTCAGAATCACCTAGCAAAGAAGTCAAAGATACAGAATTTCAAGTTACACTTTGGGACTCATCGATGACAGTTATTATAAAAACCCATGAAACGCTATCTCTCCAACTCAGTCGATATGACGACGACACCACAATGATGATATGTAGAAATAACAGAACGTCGTATGAGCTCTTCTGTAACTCCCAAGCGAAACGTAATTGCCAGTCTGTTCCTGTTCCTGTCAATAAATCAGTTACCATCAGAAATGAAACACAAGATGAACAGATCATATTTAATATTGTGGCAAAATGTATAAATCAAAAAGTTGGTATCAAATGGATAAATATTTAGCCTGTAATTGGCATGTATTTTCAAAAACGTTATTAGGTTTCGTCATCTTTCTGATTTGAAAAGAACTAAGCAATGTTACTTTAGAATAGTTTTTAATGATGCATGAATAGGTGAAGATGTTAAACTTCTCGGAAAATCTATTTTACTTAATATTGAACTAGTTGTGGGATCCCAATTTAGATCACTCCATACTTGTCTGTCTTTACCCAAACTTGTGAGTTTATCATATACGCATGCTTGCTTTTCCCTGTGTGGATGAATAAAACCAACCAAGAGGGGAGGAATTCATTAAGAAGACACATGCGTCTAGTTAGTTGTACGAAGATATTTTCATAAAACATGTTTTCGAGGTTCGGATATTTTTTTGTGAATTAATCTCGGAGTACATTTGTTTTTGAATTGTAAACATCCTATCTGATACTACTACTTAGTTTATAACTGCATGCAGCTGGTGGTATATTTGTAATTTCCAGCTTATATCAATTGGCCAGTATCCAGTGTTTTCGTCGAGACATTATGAAAATTCTAAGTTTTTATTAAAACTTTTAATTTAGAAATTTATTATTTTTACTATAACCAGAGTTACAAATGTTTGCAGTGTTTAGTCCCTGTTCCTTAAATGTTTTGTTTCACAGAAATGTTTTGTATCGAGCGTACCTGTCGGAGGTAATCTGAGAAAAATTTTCATGCGCATGAAATTCAATATGATACTTTTTTGATTTTCTTTGACATGTTGTTCTAAGGGAGTTTTCCTGATTGTGTGACCGTTTACAAATTAAAAAAATAATTAAATCATTCTTCTATCCTGTATTCTTTTCTTTTTTCATTGAGAATTTCGTTGGAAAAACTCCAATTCGTACTTATACTAAATTTGTTTTGCTGTTTCACAAAAAAAAAATCACCTAAATCGTGTTGATAATTTATATCACAACTGCTTAAATTAAAAGGTTTACTTAACTAAAGTGTGTCTAGCGAATTATTGCGTGAATCTTTATTAACTATAACAGGAGTATATGACACTAGATATAGTGATGAAGTTTCAGTGACCGGATCAATTCACTTTCAAACTGATAAACATCAAATTGTTATAAATTTGGTTCACGCCTAGACAGATTGAACAAACATTCGAAAAAAGGAATTATTGCCAGAGTGCAAAGCAAATGCATGAACGGATTGATAGTGTTGTTAGCCTAACACATTTGAAAATATTTGATCAGAGACACTTAAAGACAACAACACATTGAAAGAGTATATACATCCAAGTATTCATACCAAATCTGAAGGATTGGTTATACTTGGATGATGTATGTCATTTTATATTATCGTCTCATATGTTAATTTAAAACTATATTTAAAATAGTTTGAAACGGAATCTAATCAAAGGGATGAAGGTGTAAAAAAATGCTAGAAACAAAAATCATCGAAGGTATAAAAGAAATGTGTTGTTGCTTGTCGTTTTCAAATGAAACAAAAGACGAATATTAATATTTTTGTAGTCTTTGACTACACTGTTACCTTATTTGCAAGTAGAAGACCGTTACACTTTTTCGTGAATATATTACTTTTATTTTCCTTCACAAATTATGCTATAATGTGGAAACAACTTTTAATGCCCAATTTATTTCACAGGGTCATTGAAATGTAAATATAATGTAAAACTGTCAACACTAATTTTGCAAATTATAAACCTATCTGTATTAGTATTTTCTTTTTGTGTTTTGTACATCTGTCATGTTGCTTTTGCTTAGTATCGGCTGAAAACTGTTGTAATGTTTTAAAAGATAAATTTGGTATTTTTTTCTAAAATCAAGCTTAAAATCCTTCAGGCAAACCGACCTTAGATGAATTTTGCAACCTTTTTAATGCTCTTCTAAGTGTGAACCTCTTAAATATTTTGTTTTGTTTTTAATCTGGCGCCCCAAATTTAAATATCCTAGGTTATTGAAGTAACACGTTACGTTTAAGTTTACATAGTTGTTTTGTTATCTTCTATCCAGAATTTTGTTAGCACTTTTTGTCTTGAACATGCACATATACAGATACGTTTATTCCTTGAATTGAAATCTATCGTTTGAACTTGAAGTATAGATAATACAGGATGAAAGGTCTGCTTCATCTTTTGTTTATATTCCTCTTTATTCGAACGAACTGTCAAAGCATATGGTTTTACCTACCTTTATTAAAAATATAAAAATCTACTAACGGAAGCTTTATCCTACCAAAACACTACTACAGAAGGTTACGAGGACGAACGACATAATTCTCGAATACTGTAACATCATAAATTGTTGGATCGCTACAATATCTACAATATCTATATATCAACCTATAAGTAACATTTTAGCTCTGTAATATCAATCTGACATGATTAACGGTTTTGTAGTGTTCCTGGCTTAGACAATTGCTTTACCTATTCCAAGATAGTTCTGATAAATAACGGCTTTTGGGGGATTTGCTTGGACCATGGAAATTGCCGATCCAGACTTCGGCAAGTTAAAGTCTCCGAATTGTAATACATCCAAGTCAAACACATAAATCAAACACCATTTAATTCCTTATCAAATTTCCATACCTTTTATTCACAATTATGAAAAACAAAACAATCGAGGGTTCGATGAAATTAGCTTTTGTTACGGAAACGAATGTTGTATGATTTATCTGCTTGCTAATGGATTTGTAACGATTTAGACAGGAACATGCGGACCCAGGTTTATGGTAGGCAAGTTTGATGTTTTCTATGAGCAATGCGTTCAAAGGCTGCGTCAGAAGTCAGACCAAATTTGATGATGCATATATAAAAGGAAATGATTACCTCCACATTACCCTTCCGGAGTACTTGAGATCAATTCGGATTTTTGTGGTGTTCCTTTTGCTCTTTAGTTTTCTGTGTTGTGTTTTGTGTATTGTTGTATGTCTTTTTGTCTTTTTTTATTTTTTGCCATGGATTGTCGGTTTGTCTTCAACTTATGAGTTTGAATGTCCCTTTTGTATCTTTCGCCTATTTTTTAGACATACCAGTTTTATAACTAAGTATTTGTAATACAACAACTACCTCTTCTTATATTTCATGGAAAAATATCTAGGAAAAATACTAGACTGCAAAGTTGGATAGAAACCATACACAGTGAGGACTTTATTAACTTTTGTATCTCAGCTTGTGTTATTATAATGCACATAGGTGCGTGTGGATTAAATCATATACTAAAATTTTTGTACTTGCATATTACTTAATACTAGCCTCACCTGAATATATAGAAAAAGAAGATGTTGTATGATTACCAATGAGACAACTCTCCATAATAGACCAAATCACACAGAAATTAACAACTATAGGTCACCGTACGGCTTTAGCATAGTATAATAGTATGAATACATTGAAAATTGAAATTGAACAAATGAAACGATATCAGGTTCATGTTTATGAAACATCAACATAGGGCGAATATATCAAGGGTAATAAAACGCAGTAGTAGGGAATAGGTTATATCACCATGACCAAAGGAGAAAAGTAGAACAATAGTTAGCTGAACACTAGATAGAAAACAAGAGATGAAGAAACATGGAGGTTAAATCAACCGCCCGTGAAGGAACTTCTAGTAATGACAGCAATCGTATAACTCGTCTTAAAATTCGAAAATATTCCATGTGCCATAACAAAGATAGATGACAGGTCTCTTGTCTAACCGTTATATATTTCCTAATTTATAAACTATCGGTAGATGCAAGTTTTGTAACCCTTTTACATGTTTGAAATAAAAATAACCTTTTTTTGGACAAATGTTAAACAAGACCAATACATATAGAAACAACATATACATTGAAAAATAAAGTAGCCCAAATGCTATACAGAAAACTAAAGCAAAAGCAACAAAACCCCTTTAAGTGGGATCAGGCTTCCCCTAATAAGTTTTGGCTCCACCAGTTGTGAAGATCGGTATCTATGATGCGTTTGCTTGCTCATTTCAAGAAAAATCCGTCTAAAAGTCTCATTCGGTGATGTTACAATCAAAGAAAAGAGGCCTGGATGGCTTTTGAAAAATATCAGTGTTCAGCTGTGACATATCAAACAGAAATCCTGAAATATCGTAACAACTGATAATTATTACTCCATATGCTGGGTTTCTTGAATGTGAGTACCCAACAAGTAAACTTCGAGATGGAAAATCAAAGTCATCTCTTTTATATCAACCGACCTTTATTTTCGACTTTTAGATTCAAGTCAATGTATGAAGCTGACTGAAGATTTCTGATTTCTTTATTTTAAGTTCATTTAAATAGATGCGATTAACCTTAATATACAAAGTAAATTAAAATTACATTTTATAGATTTGGTGCGTCCGAAGCGCATTTCTAAATATACCTTCATCAAGAACGTAAAAGCTTACATAATTAAAAGCAAAGGCTATATTGCAAAACAAAAGATAGCAACATTAAGATCAACATTGAGGGAGTCCTAACCAAAGATTTTTAATAATTTCTCAATTTTCAAATTTCTGATTTTGAGAAAGGTATGTTAAAAAATCATTTCAGAACCGAAGCACAGACTAATAAGCTGACGATGTCATTTGTGACTTGGAGGACTAAAGAGCTGAATCAGCAGCGGTATCGACCCGGTAATAGAAAATGAAAATAAACACCACTGTCCAAAGTGTAGGGCGCCCACTAACATGTTTAACCCCGCCACATTCTCTATGTGCCTGGCCCATGTCAGGAACCTGTAATTCAGTGGTTGTCATTTGTTGCTGTGTTACATATTTGTTTTTCGTCATTATTTTGTACATAAGTTAGGCTGTCAGTTTTCTTGTATGATTTTTTTTACATTTGTCATTTCGGGGCCTTGTATAGCTGACTATGCGGTATGGGCTTTGCTCATTGTTGAAGACCGTACAGTGACCTATAGTTGTTAATTTCTGTGTCATTTGGTCTTATCATTGGCAATCATACCACATCTTCTTTTGATGCGTCCGATGCTTTCTTCTTGATAAACTGTGAACAAAAAAAACCCGCTCCATTGCAAGAATTTGAAATTCAAGAAAGTACAAGTACTTGAATACATTAGGAGCTTTGTGACCAAAAGTGACATATAATGATTTGAAAAAAGTTAATCAACCGTAAAGTTCATGCTCTTTACCTGTATCGTTTCAATATGTAATTGACGTACACCTAAAATATCATCCCCATGATATTTTTGACCCCAAATTATAGCTGATTTTATATCCACTTTTTTAGCCGACCTTCATTTCAGAATAAAGAAGTACATGTCATATTTTTGAGGCAATAGGTTTGTTAAATTGGTTATGTACAATTCATCTTCAAGTTCTTAATAAAGGCTTCATAGCTATTTGAAAATCTGCGACACTTGACCTGAGAATTTGGGAGACTGGAACCATTAAAGTCTTAAAACAGTCAATTATCTTTATGGCATCAACAATTTTATTTATTGTGACTTCAACATTTTACTGGAACCTTTGTAATCTCTAGTAATGGCGGACAAATATCAATAAGGTATATTCAAACTGAGATGAAACACACATTCTATAGTTGTGTACAAAACATATAAAACATAATAAATGAAGCACAGACATTTATGGTGGAATGAAAATACAATTTTATCAGCATAACATTTTTTTCACTGAAAACATATTTGTTTCTTAACAGGTACAACAAGAGGAAGTATGTTGAAATACAAGAACAGAAAAGGAAAGCTAAAGGTCTATACAAACACATGAAAAGACTGAAGAAAAATAAAAGATGATCATTTTATATAATAGTTAAATTTTTATATGAAACTTATTGTAATATTAAATGTACTATGGTTATATCTGTCATTGTCCCAAGTTTAACATGAAGCACATTGATATATAAGGAGAAAATAACAAACAGTACAATTAAATTTATAGCTTTCAGGCTGCACCGTTATGTGATTTCATTATTTAGAATTTGTCACATTCCTTTAAATGGAGTTTGGTTCTGGTCATGTTACAGACATTCAAAATTGTCTGTCATTTATATTTCACTCTCATATCCATTCAGTAATGTAGAACATGGTTTGTAAAACCCGGTTTGAGAATATCTGTTCTATGCTTGAGTGACTAAAGATAGAAAAACATAGATGAAAATTATCATAGGATACCCTACTGCCTTCGACAATGAGCTAAACCTATGCTATATAGTAAGCAATAAAAGATCCCTGTATGCACAATGTAAAACAATTAAAAAGAGAAAACCAACATCTTGATTTTTATATCCCTGTCTGGTGGAGGGGTATACTGTTTTACCTCTGTCCATCTGTCCTTATGTCAATCTGTCCCTTGAATTTAGTCACATTTTTCTGAGTAACTATAAATTATAGTTTTCTTCAAATTGATATCAGTCTTCATTGGAACATACTTTACAGTATGATGTGATTTCAGATTCATCGATCCTAAATTTCCTGTTTTCCAAATACTTCTATATTCTAACACATAATGACCATGAAATTTTACCACCCTCATTAGAGCGTCCTGAAATGTGTTATGAGGATTCATGCGAACATTTGCTTCACTGTAAGATGCGTTTTCAGATTTATGGCTCATCAACTTCTGTTTACCGATTATTCATATAGTCTTATTGTCGAGCCTGCAACTTCTGTTGCAGATAGCTTGGCATAGGGATAGTGATCTGGCAGCGTCAACAGCGGCGTTAACTAACTATTTAAAAGCTTTATATTTTAGAAGGTGGAAGACCTGGATGCTTCATACTTTGTATATAGATGCCTTATGTTATGGAGTTTCCGTCTGTCATATGTCCAATGTCCTTTACCTCATTTTCATGGTTCATGACTACTTGAAAGATTTTTTTTAATGTTAATTTCTCTCTTATTATGAGTAATACGATAACTATATTTACAATATGCGTACCTTGCAAGGTCCTTCTGCCCGTCAGACAGTTTTCATCTGACCTCAACCTCATTTCATGGATCAGTGAACAAGGTTAAGTTTTCGTGGTCAAGTCCATATCTCAGATTCTATAAGCAATAGGTCTACTATATTAGGTGTATGGAATGATTGTAAGCTGTATATGTCCAACTGGCAGGTGTCACCTGACCTTGACCTCATTTTCATGGTTCAGTGGTTAAAGTTAAGTTTTTGTGTTTTGGTCTTTTTTTTTAATACTATATGCAATAGATCAACTATATTTGGTGTATGGAAATATTTGATGATGTACATGTCAGTCTGGCAGGTTTTATTTGACCTTGACCTCATTTTCACGGTTCATTGCTCAGTGTTAAGTTTTTATATGACCGCAAAAATATTTTGCAGTCGTATATTGGTATGAAGATGGCGTCATTGTCGTTGTCGTCGTCGTCGTCGTCCGAAGACACATTAGTTTTCCCACTCTAACTTTAGTTTAAGTGAATGGATCTCTATGAAATTTTACCATAAGGTTCAATACCACAAAAGGAAGGTTGGGATTGATTTTGGGGGTTATGGTACTAACAGTTAAGGAATGAGGGTCCAAAAAGGGGCCAAAAATAAGCATTTTTGTAACTTCCAGACATAACTTGTGTGTTAGTGTATGGATCTCTCTGACATTGTACCTCAAGGTTCCATATCACAAAGGGAATGCTAGGATTGATTTTGGAGGGTATTTGCCTCAAAATTTTAGGAATTAGAGGCCAAAAAAGGGGCAAAAAACAAGCATTTTTCTAGTTTCATGACAATAACTTGTGTGTTAGTGTATGGATCTTTCTGAAATTGTACTACAAGGTTCCATATCACAAAGGGAAAGCTGGAATTGAGTTTGGGAGTAATTGCCCCAAACGTTTAGGAAAAAGGGGCCAAAAATAAGCATTTTTCTAGTTTTCAGACAATAACTTGTGTTCAAGTGTATGGATCTCTCTGAAATTGTACTGCAAGGTATCATACCACAAAGGGAAGGCTGGGATTGATTTTGGGGGTAATTGCCTCAAAATTTTAGGAATTTGGCTCCAAAAAGGGGCAAAAAACAAGCATTTTTCTAGTTTCATGACAATAACTTGTGTGTAAGTGTATGGATCTTTATGAAATTGTA